GCTATAAATCTAGTTCATTCACACAGTTTGATTTCTTGAGCTCAAAGCCTATTTGTTCAGTGCATTTCTTTTCCTGTGCAGCTGTCGGAAATCACTGTGCATATTAATGATTTAATAACTCCTACCTTGAAGCATAATAACTGAGGTCTGATATTTAAGATTTTTTTGCTTTTCTATGTTTTTGATGATGTACCTTTTGCTTAAATGAGACATTTTCATATACAAAGCTATCAAATATGCAGTGTTAGTCTAAGAGAATTACCGTAAAAAACTGACACACATAATCCATGCAGACATTTTTGGGTAACTTTGAATCTTCTGTTTTGAAACCCTTTGTACAGCACAAATATTCTCAGAGTAAATGAGAAGCATTTTAGACCCTTAGAAATATAGTCCTTTTGTTTGAGATCTGCAAGTATCCTTGTGTGTGAAGGCAATACACCAGTAAAGTAGTGCATATTATAGTTGATGTTTACAGAGGCATTTTTTTAAAAGGGCAAATTATTTTTTTATAGTTTGTGGGGTTCTCACTTTCTACAGAGCTTATTTAGAAAGTACATACTCTTCTCTAAAAAGCTATGAATCATTAAAGCTCTAACCATCTTTTATGGATTATAAATCCAGATTAACTCTGCTCTCTTAAAATTCATGCTGTAATTTGACAGTGATTGAATCTCCATGTGATCCACAGTAGGCCTATAATTGTCCCTGAAAATGAGACTAAACGTTTAGGACAGATTGTTGGTGCTGTTCTGCTGTCATTTCAAGCATTTAGGTATATTTGTAATTTCTTTTGAACACAGCTTACTATGGACACTTTTCCACTGCATTTAAATATCCTGAAAGTAGCAATTCATATTTAACCAGGAAGAGGTGCAGTTGCTGCATTAATGTATTGAGATGTAGGGAGAGTTCAGTCTGTTCGGGAGCTAACCCAGTTTTATTTCAGTCTGAACAGCTATCTTTTGATGACTGCAATAGGAAAGCATAGTGAACAGGACAATAATTATTAGCAGGATCAATTGTAATTCACTTACCCAGACCCTCCTGAATCAGTCTTATGTATTTAAGCATGCATTTAGTAACATTTACTTCAAGGGCTTAAGTACCTTGCTGAATCAGGGCTGTAGTTCCTCAATCTATTCTGGTAGCAGTTGGGAGTAGGGTACTGATTTATTCGGCCTAAATATATTTCATCTGAACAGTCTGAAATGACTAGATCATCAAGGGAGACGGGTAAGTTTTGAGTGCAGCATGTACAGCAAGTATCATAGGTTGCGCTAGAGGAAAAGAAAAATGCAGAAGTGGTGGTAAATTCTGAAAGTGGAACACTTCAATTTGCCTACAGGGATAAACAGCCCTAAAGACCTTTCCACCTCCACTGAAGTCAGACTGCCTCAGCATTCTCTCAGGTTTCAGAGGAACAGCCGTGTTAGTCTGTATTCGCAAAAAGAAAAGGAGTACTTGTGGCACCTTAGAGACTAACCAATTTATTTGAGCATGAGCTTTCGTGAGCTACAGCTCACTTCATCAGATGTTTACCGTGGAAACTGCAGCAGACTTTATATACACACAGAAATCATGAAACAATACCTCCTCCCACCCCACTGTCCGGGGGTGGGAGAGGTATTGTTTCATGATTTCTGTGTGTATATAAAGTCTGCTGCAGTTTCCACGGTAAACATCTGATGAAGTGAGCTGTAGCTCACGAAAGCTCATGCTCAAATAAATTGGTTAGTCTCTAAGGTGCCACAAGTACTCCTTTTCTTTCAGCATTCTCTAAATTCATAGTGCAAAAACAGCTGTAATGTACAAACAGAAGAACATGTTGCAGGTGTGGTTAGTAGCTAGTGATATTAACTTAAAACTTGCATCTGCAATTCATAAAATATTAAGTGTAGGTGTATTTGCAATACATAAAGACAAGGAAGAAGTAAAGCCCCCTTGCTAATCAACTCAGTTGTACCACTAAATTTCAAATAAAGCAAATAAATTAGAGGCCTTAAGGGACAGATAGGAAGCAAGGAGCAATGTGGGTCATTCACTAGATTTCAGTCTCCCCACAAACTCAGTACTAAAGTAATGTGAGGCTAGGTATTCTGATGCTGGACATGCTATGTGTATAAGATGTACGTGTGCCTATTTCCAACCTGAGAGCAGTTTTTGTAAAAGTCACACTTACTCCTTTGCTATATTCAAATTATATCATTAGTCTCTCTCTAAATGCTCCCTGAACTTCAAAAGTGGATACAGTATTTCTTTATTCTGTCCTAGAATGCTACTGGTCAGTTAGCATGCTTTGTCCTGGAGAAACATTCATATGGAGCAAGTGAAATGTTCCCTACAATGTCAGTCTGCATTCAGTGACCACAGTGTTAAATAATCATAGAATATCAGGGTTGGAAGGGACCTCAGGAGGTCAGCTAGTCCAACCCCCTGCTCAAAGCAGGACCAATCCCCAACTAAATCATCCCAGCCAGGGCTTTGTCAAGCCTGACCTTAAAAGCTTTTAAGGAAGGAGATTCCACCACCTCCCTAGGTAACGCATTCCAGTGTTTCACCACCCTCCTAGTGAAAAAGTTTTTCCTAATATCCAACCTAAACCTCCCCCACTGCAACTTGAGACCATTACTCCTCATTCTGTCATCTGCTACCACTGAGAATAGTCTAGATCCATCCTCTTTGGAACCCCCTTTCAGGTAGTTGAAAGCAGCTATCAAATCCCCCCTCATTCTTCTCTTCCGCAGACTAAACAATCCCAGTTCCCTCAGCCTCTCCTCATAACTCATGTGTTCCAGTCCCCTAATCAATTTTGTTGCCCTCTGCTGGACTCCTTCCAATTTTTCCACATCCTTCTTGCAGTGTGCGGCCCAAAACTGGACACAGTACTCCAGATGAGGCCTCACCAATGTCGAATAGAGGGGAACGATCACGTCCCTCGATCTGCTGGCAATGCACCTACTTATACATCCCAAAATGCCATTGGCCTTCTTGGCAACAAGGGCACACTGTTGACTCATATCCAGCTTCTCATCCACTGTAACCCCTAGGTCCTTTTCTGCAGAACTGCTGCTGAGCCATTCGGTCCCTAGTCTGTAGCGGTGCATGGGATTCTTCCATCCTAAGTGCAGGACTCTGTACTTGTCCTTGTTGAACGTCATCAGATTTCTTTTGGCCCAATCCACTAATTTGTTTAGGGCCCTCTGTATCCTATCCCTACCCTCCAGCGTATCTACCTCTCCTCCCAGTTTAGTGTCATTTATAAACTTGCTGAGGGTGCAATCCACACCATCCTCCAGATCATTTATGAAGATATTGAACAAAACTGGCCCGAGGACCAACCCTTAGGGCACTCCACTTGATACCAGCTGCCAACTAGACATGGAGCCATTGCTCACTACCCGTTGAGCCCGACAATCTAGCCAGCTTTCTATCCACCTTATAGTCCATTCATCCAGCCCATACTTCTTTAACTTACTGGCAAGAATACTGTGGGAGACCGTGTCAAAAGCTTTGCTAAAGTCAAGGAACAACACGTCCACTGCTTTCCTTTCATCCACAGAACCAGTTATCTTGTCATATAAGGCAATTAGATTAGTCAGGCATGACTTGCCCTTGGTGAATCCATGCTGACTGTTCCTGATCACTTTCCTCTCCTCTAAGTGCTTCAGAATTGATTCCTTGAGGACCTGGTCCTAAGTTAAGATAGTGCAGGATTAAAACCATAGACAATGTTTTAAAGTAATTGCTCCTACAATTTTGCCATCAACAACCATTTGTTTTATAAAAACACACGGAGTTCCAGTGGCCGCTAGTTTCCTTAACGTGGATTGCCACTGGAGGAAAGAGTTGCATCACAACTAGAACTGGGTTGTGAGGGAAGATAGTGGCTGCTCAGCTGGTGGGTTTTTAAGCAGTGCTATTACTCCATTTTCAGTAAGTCAGATCAGCTGGGTGCTATGGGAAGAAAGTCAGCAGATAGAAGCTCATCTGAAATTTGCATTAATACTGATGATAAAGTTTGTGTCAGTTGTCTGAACACTTCCGAGGGGAGGCAGACTGTCATGCAGTGCTGCAGCTGAATGTTCTCCTGGGAAAGAATTCACAAGTTTTCTAATGTAGGGTGCCTCACTGGAAGAAGTGAGACCCTGACTTTCACCAGTGTTGAGCACTCCAAATGCAGTCACAAGGGGTTGTAGGTGCTTAGCTCTGAAACTCTCACCCTGGCTGTCTTAGCCCGCTCGACAAGCCACCCCAAAATAGTGGACATCTTTGAGAATTTTGGCCACATTGTAGCTTGCTGCAGCTAAAAAGCTCTTAGGGCTCATCTATATGGGGACACTCAGGAAAGTGACTGTGAGTTAACTGAAAGTGTGAAGTTAAAGTGCATTAAACCTCTCGGTGGTCTTAGTTGATTGTGGCTTAGAAACGACATGGGCTTAGTTCACTGTGGCTTAAGCTACAGCAAACTAAAGCCACTTTACTTCTAAATATCCGTACAGGGGTTTTCTACATTTCAACTTCTGCACATTAACCTCATATTGTTAGTAATTTAGTCTTCACCTTCTTGAGTGTCCCTACGTAGATGAGCCCATAAGGTCCTGTTTGATAATCCTCACTCACCCTGGGGTTTTCCCTGCCTGTAGGGTGACTGTCAGTAATGGCTGCAGGGCTGCTTGCCAAGTCCTTCCACAGAGCTGTGGCAGAGTTTGTAACGTGTGCAGAATATCTGTACACAAACAACAGACTTGTTGGGTTAGCTTTTTATTTGTACAACAAGGGAGGTAGCTGGGTGTGGGGAATGTAAACAAGAATATCACTCCAAGCAAGCAGATAGAGCTGTAGCTACAAGCCTATAACCTTGAATGCAGCTGGACTTTCCCTCCCTACCACCCTAATGAAGATGAAAGTGTCATCTTAGATGAAATGAAGACAGACAGAGAGCAGACAGATGACTCGGCTGATACAATTTACAAAACAGAAAAAGGAGCAGCAAGAACTAAAACTTATCACCAGTTTACTCTCACTTTAGCTCATATTTTACTTAAAGGCTGGGAATTGCAGGTTACAAACACCAGGACATCATCTTATTACAATACAGACAAGCAGCAAAGAGTCATCACTACTTTCACCAGCAGTCACATCATCCCTTTAAATAAAATGGAACCAGCAGATGTTACATAAAGCCACAACAGAAGGTTGAAGACAACAGAAGAGATGCAGGGAGTTGTTCCTCACGTGAAATTAAAATATTCTAAAATAAATGACCACCACCACCACCAAAGCAGTCCTTTGTTAAATATCAAACAAGAAAAATCCAAACAACACTTATATCAGTGCAAAATTAAACAGCAGCATTTATACGCAAGTGGGATTTGCCAGTGTAAATACATCACATAAAATGCACGTAACTGAGAGCTGCACATAACTTAAACACACACTTCCACAAGTTTTGAAAGCAACAGTCCCTCAATCTCATTAAAGCAGGCTCTCAACCATGACTGACTTTCTTGGAAATATGTAAGGGGCTGAAGTTTACACGGTTAGTCATTTCATCTACTGAACCCAAGCCTATTATACAGCTAAGGACATGACTTGGACTGGATTCCTAAAACCAACATGGCTATTTTGGTACAAGTTTGAGTGTCAACACTTCTTTCCGAATAAAAGCAGCTAAAGTTAGTAACAAACCAACATGCCCCCAAAATAATGAAATCAGTTTTAATTCACACTTTTATTTCAGTTCAAATGTGTGCGTAGGCCAGCCCTACAAAGCCAAGTTCATGACTAGAGCATGTTTAAGCCCTCGCCTTTTGACTGACTTTTATAAGATTCACTCTAGAAACCTGGTAAAAGACTTCATGCTTGAGTGGAGAGTTGCATTCCTTAAGACAGCAAAACCAATCAATACATCAGAATCCACTGCATTTGCCTGCTTGCAAAATGATGATTTTTAGAACAGAAATCAAAAAGTTTTCCATTTAACTCTGATACCACCACACTGTAGTCCAGTGGGTATTTGACAGACTAGATCTAGAAAACTTTGACATTTGAAACAGCAGAAATTGTAATCAGCCTTGCTGCCAAAAATGGCACGTGAACCACATTATCTAAAGTACATTGTTTTCATGTTAGAATCACTTAGAGGCTGTGTTTAAGGAGTATCATGAGGGTTACTCATATAATAGTCCCACCCAGGAACTGAGAGCAGAATTCAGAAATACAGCAAGTCTAAGTGAGAAAGTCTTCCTATGGGCAATACCAAAGTAAAATACTTCACATATTCCTAGCCTTTCTTATCAGAGTTAGGCCAAATACTAACTGAAGTTCACAGCTAATATTTTCAAACATGAATGCTTAGAATCAGTCACGAACATAAGATTTGCCAGACTGAGACCACATTTATTTGTGTCTAACTTTAGGCACCCATGTTTGAAGACACAGACCTCTGTTGAGCTACAAATTGCTAGAGATCTGGGAGGAGATTTTCAGATTCTAACTATGGTGTCGGTGAGAGCAGCCAAGCAGTTGTAGGCATGCTTCTGCAAGCGAAACAACTGGTTACATTACATGTTAGAGAAAAAAAAATACTTCTCAGTCTCTTTACTAAGCAGCCGTAGTGGTTTACAAGCCAGAAATCAGACAACAAATCAGGCTGGATTTATGGTCGCTGCATAGCATGGGTCATTTTTGAGCACCAGGGATTTGTTCGCAAAATTTCCACAAGCAAGGTGACCAATCCATTTCGATTCTTCCTGCTCTGCTACCGTCGTCGAATGGGCTTGTAGACACACACTGCCATCAGGATCATGGTGATCAACAGGATACTGAAGATGCTCCCCATGAGCACTGCAAGAGGGAAGAAATGGCATGTGTGGAATAGGGGCAAGTATAAGAGGAAAAAGGTCACATGCATGTATGTCTATCTTCCCATTTAGTGCAGCATGTCCCAAACTGGTGACATCAAAGGTTCTGCTGTGAATTTGTCAGGAGTCCCTAGATATCACCCCATTCCCAGTTAAGTCCGTTTTTCCCTGGTCTATAATGGGAGTTGGACCACGCCCCTAATTTGCCTTTGCATTTCTGGCCAGACTTTCACCCTTTTAAAGCTGCAGCTGCATGTGAACATTTGCCCTCACCCAGTGTTTGTGAAACGTATGCCTGGTGCACACGCATGGGCCATTCAGCACTCTGAACGTGCCCCATCACCCACTTGCCCTGGAACACTTGCTTGTATATTTTGATAGCATTATCAAGCAAAATAAACGGCTGCTTGTTTGAGTTCATCTGGAATAACAATGTGTGGTTACTGAGAGTGGGTGGCCACAGGCAGGATTTTAGTACTTATTAATTCATAGCATTTATCACCAGAAGGGACCATTATGATCTAGTCTGACCTCCTGCATAACAAGCTGGAGATTTTTACACAGCGATTCCTGCGTCAAGCCCAATCACTCATGGCTGATCTACAGCCTACCGTTTAGAAAGGGCTAGTCTTGATTTAAAGACTTCAAGTGATAAAATGCACCCAATACCCCTAGGTAAACTGTTCCAATGGCTAATTACACGCACTAAATAATCTGCACCGTGTGTCTAGCCTGAATTTGTATAGCTTCAGCTTCCAGCCATGGGATCTTGTGCTCTTATCTGCTAGAATGAAGAGGCCTTTACTACCAGAAATATTCTCTCCAGTCGATACTCATAGCGCCTCTTTTTGTTCCAAGGGAGCCTAGTTTCCCATGCAATCCAGATGGCTCTGTAGACCAGACTTGCCCTTACAATTTTTTTTTTACCACTCTACCAATTTGTGTCATCTGCCAACTTTACCCATTTGTGTTTTCCTCTACATTGCTGAAAGAGATATTGAATAGCACTGGGCCAAGAACTGATCCTTACTAGACCCCTCTAGAAACATCACCACTAGAATGATGGTTCCCCATATAGGATTACTTCTGGAGAACTGAAGTTATCCAGTTTTTAATCCATATAATAGGGGGTGCATTTTATTATTGGATAATACCATATGGTCATCCCAATTTAGAAATACTATCCATCCCCTCCCTCCCTCCCATGTGCCCATAAAGCTTCACATAACATACACTTAGTTCTCCTGCAGGCTCCAACAGCAGTAGTTGAAAAATTTACAGCCAACTTGTATTTTACCCTGCTCACTGCTAGCATATTATCTTTCCTCCCAACTTGCTGCTCTCATTTTCAGATGCTCACTTTTTTCACAGTCTATTTGATTGTTGCTGTTAGACAATTTGTCACATGAAGAACATCTCCTTATTAAGTATGCATCCGATGAAGTGAGCTGTAGCTCACGAAAGCTTATGCTCAAATAAATTGGTTAGTCTCTAAGTCTCTGCCATAGAATCATAGAATCATAGAATATAAGGGTTGGAAGGGACCCCAGAAGGTCATCTAGTCCAACCCCCTGCTCAAAGCAGGACCAATTCCCAGTTAAATCATCCCAGCCAGGGCTTTGTCAAGCCTGACCTTAAAAACCTCTAAGGAAGGAGATTCTACCACCTCCCTAGGTAACGCATTCCAGTGTTTCACCACCCTCATAGTGAAAAAGTTTTTCCTAATATCCAATCTAAACCTCCCCCACTGCAGCTTGAGACCATTACTCCTCGTTCTGTCATCTGATACCATTGAGAACAGTCTAGAGCCATCCTCTTTGGAACCCCCTTTCAGGTAGTTGAAAACAGCTATCAAATCCCCCCTCATTCTTCTCTTCTGCAGGCTAAACAATCCCAGCTCCCTCAGCCTCTCCTCATAACTCATATGTTCCAGACCCCTAATCATTTTTGTTGCCCTTCGCTGGACTCTCTCCAATTTATCCACATCCTTCTTGAAGTGTGGGGCCCAAAACTGGACACAGTACTCCAGATGAGGCCTCACCAATGTCGAATAGAGGGGAACGATCACGTCCCTCGATCTGCTCGCTATGCCCCTACTTATACATCCCAAAATGCCATTGGCCTTCTTGGCAACAAGGGCACACTGCTGACTCATATCCAGCTTCTCGTCCACTGTCACCCCTAGGTCCTTTTCCGCAGAACTGCTGCCTAGCCATTCGGTCCCTAGTCTGTAGCTGTGCATTGGGTTCTTCCGTCCTAAGTGCAGGACCCTGCACTTATCCTTATTGAACCTCATCAGATTCACAAGTCCTCCTTTTCTTTTTGCGAATACAGACTAACACGGCTGTTACTCTGAAACCTTTCCTAGAGATAACATTTGAAACGAAACTTTAAAATTACTTCACTGGCACATCAACACAAAGGCTTCTGCTTTCAGAAACCTTTCATCTAATGTACGCAACAGCCAGAGAGAGATAAGAACAGAACAAAACTTGAGTGGCTGGGCTAGCATCCTTTGTATTCCACAATAGTTTTGTTCCCTTGTTCACTTCTGATTTTAATCAGATAACTAGATGAGACTTTCTACTCACACCTAACTGCTGTTTAAACTAGCAACAAGATGGGATGCTTATGCTGGATACCCACTGGTGTGGATGAACAGGCCCTGCCCAGAGGGATCCCAAACTTGGGGAGATCAGTTTCCAATTCCAGTGATCCTTGATGCCATTGCTACCATCCCAAGGAGGGTGAAAACTACTGTATTTCCAGATCCGGGCCACCAGGGACTACCAGATCTGCCAAACATGGAAGCTGGGCAGCTGTAAAACATAGCTTGTTAGACTAATGCATCCGTGGCTATATGTATACAGACAGTCACCAGCTACTCGAGAACCCACACTGTCTGCAGCAAACTGGACCTCAATGCTGTGGCAATTTCAATACATTTTTAAAATGGATTTTTTTTCCCCACTCGAGTTGCATTCAATAAAAAACTCCATCAGTACATCAGCTGTGAGCAATTTTTATATTTAAATGTCGTCTTATACTATCGCCACATTTTCAGTTTTCAAAATGCCACATATCTTTAGGTTCCAGAGTCCACACCTAATTAGATGAATGGGGCAGCTCACAGCTCTCAAGGTTATAGTTTCAGGCCATCTTCAAACTCAGGAAGACAGCACTGTCTCATCTTACCATTCTGAGGTCATTTTTGCAACAACCATGAGGGCTAGAAACTGGTTTTCAAATGAAATCAAAGATTCTGGAGCCCAATTCTGCAACAAGGGATGAATTTTACAGCTGTGGAATACGAGGGGCCTTGGCTATATGGACACAAGTGTGCATGAGGGAGAGAACCCAGAAACCTTGGCTCAGAAAACCCCTAATCCAACCCATAGATCTACTTGAGCTGAAGAAGAATTTCAGTTACTAACCCTGTGATGGTGTTTGGGGTACCCAGGACTGCAAGTCTCCCTGTTGCCTGCCTGTCTCCTGTGAGAGGGGCACTTGTTTGTGCTTAACTGGGTGTCAGCTCTCTGACACCACCAACCTGTTAGCCACCTGAACAAAATCTTCTCTGGGCAATGCCAGCCCTTATTTTGCCTTACAATAGTAGGTCCCTAAACCCCTTTGAAGCATTCCCCTGTAGTCCAAACCCTTCTCCACTGAACACTCACTGAAATACCAGGTCTGCTGTCTCCACGGGAACAGAGTACACACCAGTCTGACTGATTCACCTCACAATCAGATCATAACTTAATATCCCAGCACTGAGATACATTTCTAGTGAAATTGAGGGTAAGTTTACCAAAGGTTCAACAGATAATGAGTAAGAATAATGGAAACAAAAGGGTTACATAGAAAACAAAATCATTACACTCTTTTTAGAGACTAAACTTAACAGGCTAACCTACCAGCTAAAGAAGATCTAACCCAAAGTCATTTCAACATCTTCCACCAAGGTAGGCAGAGTTCCTATTTTCATGACTAAAAAGAAAAGGAGTACTTGTGGCACCTTAGAGACTAACATTTATTTGAGCATAAGCTTTCGTGAGCTACAGCTCACTTCATTGGATGCATTCAGTGGAAAATACAGTGGGGAGATTTATATACATAGAGAACATGAAACAATGGATATTACCATACACACCGTAACGAGAGTGATCACTTAAGGTGAGCTATTACCAGCAGGAGAGCGGGCGCGGGGGGGGGGCGCAAACCTTTTGTAGTGATAATCAAGGTGGGCCATTTCCAGCAGTTGACAAGAACGTCTGAGGAACAGTGTGTGTGTGTGTGGGAGGGAAAATAAACATGGAGAAATAGTTTTACTTTGTGTAATTACCCATCCGCTCCCAGTCTTTATTCAAGCCTAAGTTAATTGTATCTAGTTTGCAAATTAATTCCAATTTAGCAGTCTCTCGTTGGAGTCTGTTTTTGAAGTTTTTTTGTTGAAGAATTACAGCTTGAGGAATTCCACCATGATTTCAACAATTTCCATCCCACCATCAACCTCAGCCTGGACCAGTCCACACAAGAGATCCACCTCCTGGACACTACAGTGCTAATAAGCGATGGTCACATAAACACCACCCTATACCAGAAACCTACTGACCGCTATTCCTACCTACATGTCTCCAGCTTTCATCCAGACCACACCACACGATCCATTGTCTACATCCAAGCTCTACGATACAACCGCATTTGCTCCAACCCCTCAGACAGAGACAAACACCTACAAGATCTCTATCAAGCATTCTTACAACTACAATACCCACCTGCTGAAGTGAAGAAACAGATTGACAGAGCCAGAAGAGTACCCAGAAGTCACCTACTACAGGACAGGCCCAACAAAGAAAATAACAGAACGCCACTAGCCGTCACCTTCAGCCCCCAACTAAAACCTCTCCAATGCATCATCAAGGATCTACAACCTACCCTGAGGGACGACCCATCACTCTCACAGATCTTGGGAGACAGGCCAGTCCTTGCTTACGAACAGCCACCCAACCTGAAGCAAACATTCACCAGCAACCACACACCACAACCACTAACCCAGGAACCTATCCTTGCAACAAAGCCCGTTGCCAACTGCATCCACATATCTATTCAGGGGACACCATCATAGGGCCTAATCACATCAGCCACACTATCAGAGGCTTGTTCACCTGCACATCTACAGTGTGATATATGCCATCATGTGCCAGCAATGCCCCTCTGCCATGTACACTGGTCAAACTGGACAGCCTCTATGTAAAAGAATAAATGGACACAATTCAGACATCAAGAATTATAACATTCAAAAACCAGTCGGAGAACACTTCAATCTCTTTGGTCACTTGATTACAGACCTAAAAGTTGCAACTCTTCAACAAAAAAACTTCAAAAATAGACTCCACCGAGAGACTGCTGAATTGGAATTTATTTGCAAACTGGATACAATTAACTTAGGCTTGAATAAAGACTGGGAGTGGATGGGTCATTACACAAAGTAAAACTATTTCCCCATGTTTATTCCCCCCCACCACCCCGTTCCTCAGACATTCTTGTCAACTGCTGGAAATGGCCCATCTTGATTATCACTACAAAAGGTCCCTCCCACCCCCTGCTGGTAATAGCTCAAGTAATTACCAGTAAGCTGGTAATAGCTTAAGTGATCACTCTTGTTACAGAGTGTATGGTAACACCCATTGTTTCATGTTCTCTATGTACATAAATCTCCCCACTGTATTTTCCACTGAATACATCTGATGAAGTGAGCTGTCGCTCACGAAAGCTTATGCTCAAATAAATTGGTTAGTCTCTAAGGTGCCACAAGTACTCCTTTTCTTTTTGCGAATACAGACTAACACGGCTGCTACTCTGAAACCTGTTTTCATGAATGTAAACACGCTGACCATTTACTTTCAAGATGTAGGATAAAGGAGTGTCTTTTTGTCTTCTACTTATATCCCAAAAGTTCTTTGTCTGTACTCAGAGATGGTAAAAAAAAAACATTGCTTGTTTTTCCTTTGTCCTGCTTCTTCCCTGTTGATTTTGTATGTAGATGTGAAGCCATCAGGTCAAACAGAAAACCTATTTGTCAACTTTGCCTTGATGCAGGCTTTTAAACACATTTTCAGTATACATACGTAACTCCTGGCATAATACCTCTACATGAAACTAATAACAACATTAACAACTAACGTGACCCTGGCTTTCATTTAAGATCTCACGGACAGTCTTTGGTGAACTGGAATGTACATACTAGAATCAGGATATTCTTGTAACCCCCTTGCTTTCTGGCACTAAGGGGTTCTTAGGATCACAACCACAGTGGGCCTGCAGCCACTAGAGGGAGAAGATCTGTGGTGCATACGTGCACCACCTACCTCTCAGCAGGATACATACTCCCCTCTGAGGAGGTGCATTCTTTTTTCCAAAAGACCGAGGCTGGGGTAGCCTTGGATATATCAGACCCCTCCTAACCTTACCAGCCTTGTCATAGAGCTGACTCAGGTTCACTTATCCAACTTGCTCCTCAGTTTGCAATTGCTACCCACACCAGCTTGGAGATAAGCAGAGCTGTGTGGAGAATGGAAATTCCATTTCATGGAGGCTTTGCAGATTTTGAAATTTGTTTTCATTCCAATTAGGAACAAAACCTGAAAATTTCAAAATTCTCCAGAAAAAGAAAATAAAAATAAAAAACAACAGTCAGGTCAACTGAAACATTTCATTTTGCTTTTGACTTTTAAGTGTTATAAAATAAAATCCAATACAAAATTAAAGCAATGCAAAACAAAATGTTATTTCAAAAGGAAACTCAAAACATTTTGTTCCAAGAATGTCAAAATGTGATGTTTCTCTTGCTCACAACTCACAAACCTACAAAGAAACTCCCTCCATAGTTTGTAAATATTAGAACTTTGAACTTGAAGGAATCAGTCAGTCAGGAATAATTTACATCCTCCAGCTTCAAGAACATTAGACTGTATTTCCCCAGGGCACAGACTGATGAGTCTGCAGGTTTTGAGTTGAGGCAGCTCTGGTTGTGTGTCTGAATAGAGTCAGCAAGGGGAAGTTGTCCCTCGCCGATCGTACGTATTTATGAAATACATATCTGGATCCTCAATGCGACTCTTCTCAGTACAACTTGAGCAACCACTGCTGCCCACGTCACAGAACCGGCCATCAGCATCACGAGTCACCTGACTTCCGTCATCTCAGAGACGTCAAGAAGTAGGCCATAGAAGACACCCTCTGGAGTCGGTCTCTCCAGAATTGGGGGCACATTGCAACACAGGGTGAGGGGAGCTTGCCCTGCAGCAGCCTGTGCTGTACCTAGTGTGTACATACGTAAGGGCCTTCGCTCTGCAAGGCCTTCTGATGTCTTCCATTGAGGCTCACATCATTTCAAGAGATTTAACAATCAAATCAGCAGCAGCACGTTTGGCTGTCTAGGCTAGCTGGCTCTGTGTGCATTTACTGTGCTGGATATACACAATAATAACCCACGTGCTGCTCGTAGCCACCAGGGAAGAGGGAACAGCAGACAACAATCTCACAGTAGGGGAGAGGGGAGAAGAAAACCCGCCAGCATGTCAGGGCTGTCCTCTCCTTCCTTCCTCACTGTGAAAAATGGGTCCGTGCTACAGCTGTGTGGAGAACAGAAATTATATTTTGTGGAGTATTTTGAGACTGTCAAATTTGTTTTCATTCCAATTAGGGCTCAGCCCTACCCAGTTAAATGTTCTCTGCTAAAGAAAACTCAAGGGGGGGGGGGGAATAATTTAGTCCAAAGCAAAATGTTTGGTCTGGAGTTTGACTTTATTTTAGATGGCTAATCAAACACACACGAAACAAACCATAAATCTATTTTCTGAAAGGGAAAAAACCAAAAAGGCCACTGAATCCCCCAAAGTGTGGAAACACCCTGTTGTGCCGGGGGCAGAGCGTCCCCGGCCCCGAAAAGGCCGGCCGGGGAGCCCAGGGCTCCGAGGGGGGCAGACTGGCGTGGGCCAGGGGCGGCCCCAAGGCTGGGCGAGCAGTCCGCGGGGTGCCCGGCCCCGGCCCCTCAGATCCTAGCCCCGCACAGCGGGCAGCTCGGAGGGGGGATCACGGGGGCGGGCGACTGCAAAGGGCGCTGGGGCAAACAGCGGCGCGCCTCAACCCCATCCACTGGGACCAGCCCCCCGCGCCAGGCCGGGCCGCCCCAGGCTACTGGGGACTCACGCAGCCCGGCAGAGAACGGGACCCAGGAGTCCGGGGGGAGAGGCGCGAGACACGCCCGGCCCGGGGGCGGGAGAGCGGGGCCCAGGGGAGAGCGGCCCGGCCCGGCCCGGCCCCTCCTTACCCAGGTTCTGTCTCCGCAGCACGGCGTAGGGCCGGCTCCGCTCCGCGGGCCCCGCCGCCCAGCCCGGCCCCGCCAGCGCCAGCAGCAGGGCGAGCCCCCAGCCCGGCCGCGCCCGCCGCAGCATCCTCCCGGCGCTCGCCGCCTCCGGCCGGGCGCGGGGAAGCGGGGCCGCGGGGCGGGGCGGGGCGGGGCGCTGTCCTGCCTGGTCCGCTCTGCCCTGGCTCCCCCTCCTGGGCTTCCCTCCCCCTCCATCTTCCTTCCTTCCTTCCTTCCTCCCTCCATCTTCCTTCCCTCTTCCCCTTCCTCATCCCCCTCACTTCCTTCCCTCTTCCCCTTCCTCATCCTCCCTCCATCTTCCTTCCTTCCTCCTCATCCCTCTTCCTCATCCCCCTTCCTTCCTCCCCTCCATCTTCCTTCCTTCCCCTTCGTCCCTTCCCCCTCCATCTTCCCCTTCCTCCCCTCCCCCTTCCATCTCCCTCCCTTCCCCCTCCCTCATCCCCCCTTCCTATCCCCCTCCATCTTCCTTCCTCCTCCTTCATCCTCCCTTCCCCTTTCCTTTCCTCCCCCCCCTCCTCTTTCATCCTCCCTTCCCCTTCCTCATCCCCCCTCCATCTTCCCCTTCTCCATCCCCCCTCCACCCCTCCATAGAATCATAGAATATCAGGGTTGGAAGGGACCCCAGAAGGTCATCTAGTCCAACCCCCTGCTCAAAGCAGGACCGATCCCCAATTAAATCATCCCAGCCAGGGCCTTGTCAAGCCTGACCTTAAAAACTTTTAAGGAAGGAGATTCCACCACCTCCCTAGGTAACGCATTCCAGTGTTTCACCACCCTCCTAGTGAAAAAGTTTTTCCTAATATCCAACCTAAATCTCCCCCACTGCAACTTGAGACCATTACTCCTTGTCCTGTCCTCTTCCACCACTGAGAACAGTCTAGATCCATCCTCTTTGGAACCCCCTTTCAGGTAGTTGAAAGCAGCGATCAAATCCCCCCTCATTCTTCTCTTCTGCAGACTAAACAATCCCAGCTCCCTCAGCCTCTCCTTATAAGTCATGTGTTCCAGTCCCCTAATCATTTTTGTTGCCCTTCGCTGGACTCTCTCCAATTTATCCACATCCTTCTTGTAGTGTGGGGCCCAAAACTGGACACAGTTCTCCAGATGAGGCCTCACCAGTGTCGAATAGAGGGGAACGATCACGTCCCTCGATCTGCTGGCAGTGCCCCTACTTATACATCCCAAAATGCCATTGGCCTTCTTGGCAACAAGGGCACACTGTTGACTCATATCCAGCTTCTCGTCCACTGTAACCGCTAGGTCCTTCCTCATACCCCCTTCCCTCCTTCTCATCCCCCTTCCCTCTCCCTCTTCCTTCCTTTCCCATTCTTCCTTCTCCCTCTTCCTTCCCTCTTCCTTCCTCATCCCCCTTCCCCTTCCCTCTCCCTTCCTTCCTTCCCATCACCCTTCCCTCTCCCTTCCTTCCCCCATTTCCTTCCTTCCTTCCCCCTCCCTTTTCCTTCCTCATCCCCCTTCCCTCTTCCCCTTACCTCTTTCCTTCCCATCCCCCTTCTATCTTCCTTCCTTCCCCCTTCCCCTGCCCTCTCCCTTCCTTCCTTCCTCATTCCCTTTCTTTCTTTCTTTCTTTCTTTCTTTCTTTCTTTCTTTCTTTCTTTCTTTCCCATTTCCCTAGTGTTCATCTCTCTCACTCTCCTTCTGATCAGCCAGACTTCAGGCTGTCTGTGGCTCATTGCTGTTGGTTGCGGGTCATTATTCTAAGCACGCTTTATTAGTCTATTCTATTATTTCACAGGGCCTCTACATGCGCTAATGCACGCTGCTCTGGTACGTCACACCCTGTTGTTTCTGACCCTAGATTGGAAGTGAGCGCGAGTAGTTGCCTCCTGCCTAGGTTGAGCTCCATTTCTGTCAATATTGGCATGTGTGGCTGGCTGTGGCCTCCTCTCCCTGTGACTGTTTTGCCAGTAAAATGCACTGGCTTAAAGGTCCATGGGGAACAAGTGCAAAAAGGACACAAATGCGGCTGAAGCAAATTAATTAAAAAATCCAAATGCATATTCCTAGCATTGTTTCTTGCATTACTTGCCCAGCTCTGGTAAAAGTCAGTTGGTTGTAAGGAGACAGCATTATACAGATAAACTGGGGTTGTGTCAAGGGAAGTTTTCAGCTTGTGTTAGCTATGTGATCTTTATCTAAAGAAATGAGACAGCCCACTGAGGTAAGGAGCTAGTTTTCCTAAGGCAGACTGTGCGTGTCTTGGAAAGCAGCAAGGAGATAGAAACCACTCTTATATCCAACCCACTGGCTGGAGACAGGGATAGGGATGCATTCAATTTCCTTTCTGTTGATCTCCATACCTTTTACACAGATAAAGGCAGATGAAGCAAAGGCTTGTGTTCAGACAGGAGGTTGATACAGCTTGAATCCATACAGATTTCTAAGATTTTTTAGTTTTATCCTGACTTTATTCTCCATTTCTAATTTCCTGTGTGTGAGCCACCATATCTTGATATTATTCAAGGCATGAAGCTGTCTGAGTGAACAGAAACACAGAGTGAAGATAAATGTCTTCTGTAACTTTACAACTATTTACCTCCGTCCAATTAGTTTATCTGTAACCTGTAGGAATGGCACAGGTTACAGAAGAGATGGAATTAAAAGAAAAAGGTATGGACTTAATTTCTTGGCTGCCTTGTCCAGGTAGAACAGATCCCTTGTGCTGCTGAAAATTCCAGCCACACCCAGGTTGAATGCTACTGAACATTCACAGAAACTTAAGAACATAGCAATTGCCAGACTGGGTCAGATCCAAGGTCCATCTCATCCATCCTGTCTCTGACAGTGACCAGTGCTAGCTGCTTCAGAGAAAGGTGTAAGAACCCTATAGTAGCAGCTATGGGATCATTTCCCCCGACACACACACATTAGGTCTCCTCCTGATCTCTAATAGTTAGTGATTGTCTTAAGCCATGAAGCATGGATCCAAGCGTAATGCGCCTGCTGCACAGAGGAAGGTAAGCTCCGACAAGAATGGGTTTGGCGGAAGTGGAGTTGTGTGTATTTTATGATGGACTCTGTAGAAACACCTATATACACAGTCACCAGAAAAAGGAGTTAAATGCACCCTCTGCAGTTAAAATCAACATGTTCTGCAGATTAAATACACTCTGTACCAGGGCAGAGGATAGATAAAAGAAAAGTTTCCCACAGGGATGAACGTGTGATCTGGGTAACACTATAACCCTACCCATTTGAAAAGTTATTAGTTCTGATAGAGGTGGATATTAGCAGAGCATGGTCTTTGCCTGTCCATATGCAGAATGCACATGCAGCTCTTTCCCAGCCATGCCGGTGTCTGGGTGCTGGGAACAAATAGCTTACTGTGGGTTGCAGTACATGTTCCTAGTTGAAGTTGTGGTTTCCTGAAGCACTGCCTGATCCACTGAAAATACGTAATTATACAAACAGCATGAGAAGCAGGGACATAAATTAATAAGTAGCAAATAAAATAATAAAATCTAGCACTTATTTATTGAGCTTTCTGATACCATCCTGAGCTCATTAGCAGTACTGTAAATGCAGACTAAGTGGAAAGGCTGGGCCAATTCTGCCTGAAACTATTGGAGTTGTAAGGGAGTGAGTCAGGGCAGGATTTTTCCCATTGACATAATGGAATTGCTCTAGATTTACACTATAAGTGTAATGAGACTCTGGCCCTACATCTTTACATACATTAACTAATGCATAAGTTAGCATCTGGCATAAGCTGGAGAACTGGCTGAACCAAACACCTCTGAATTTAGGGTAAATTTAGATCTATAGCCAAACTTTGCCTGTTGATCTAATCTCTAGTGTCAGTCAAAGGGCCATAGAAATTAAAGAAAAAGGATTCTCTACAGGCAAGTTTAAAAAAAGCACTGTGTCCCTTTAAATCTGGGGTGGTCAAAACGCGGCCACCAGGCCAAATATTACCCAGGATGTTTTGCAGTTCCCTTCTCTCTAGTGTGCACTCTGTGTAGACTATGTGTTCCTACAGGGATAAACTCCTCAAATCAGACTGGAGCTTGGCTTGCTGGAACAGTCTGGATTACTCACCCCTTTGCCAGGGATCAGCATGATTAGGAGAAAGGTTGGTTTTAAAGTAACTAATGCTAGTCCCTTTATGATAACATGGGGGACCTTTCCGTGATACCATCCCTCCCCACCTGCTACCAGTCTGGACTTTCTGTGATGATTCCTTGTGCATTGCAAACAAGATCTTTCTGTACTTTCTAACAGAGGGCTTTGCTTTGGGAATCCTCTTGTTCTTGGCATCGATCTCAGGCATGTTCTGTTTGTTGTCTTTCAGAAGAGATACTTACCACATTCAATCTTATTAACAAACTATACCCTGCACTCATGCAGGGAGGCTGTTTTGTAACAGACATCTGGGCTCATTCCACACGTTTTCCCTAAATTTACTCAGAAAAGCATAAGCAAAGATGATCAGAGTCTGTTTTAAAGGAAACTTGCCTGGAAGTTAACCTATACAAAGAACTGTTTGCAAAGCATATAAGAATAATGCTTACGGTAACAGAATCATTTGCATTTTAAAAGATGCATTGTACTATAATCCCTCATTTATAACAAAAATTATTTCACATCAGCTGTAAGAAATGGGAGTAGGTTATCAGGGTAAAAGCTGCAGAATGAAGTTTGCAGCAACACAGCTGTATAAAATAATTTATATTTTTAATAGGAAGGTTTGATCACTCAAAAATTGTCTGTTCTAACCTGAGATTGGCCAGTGTTGGAAGACAGGATACTGGGCTAGATGAACCATTGGTCTGACTCAGTATGGCTGTTCTTATATTCTTATGTTTCATTATGCAAGTTTTTCATCTTTAAGATAATGTCCAGATATAAGGTAACATAATACCAAACTGTAGGAGACAGCTGGGTTACATGCATTTAATTAAGACGTCATGAGCGGAACAATGTGCTCTAACACAATTCAGCTTTGTTAAACGTATTCGTTCTTGAGCTAAATGAAAATAAGGCCAAATGCTTTTAATTCAGTTGGGGGTAGGGAAGTAGGTTACAAACAAGCCTTAGAGATTGAAAAGTATGTCAGGGACAACAAAATATTGTATGTAGAAGATATGCCAAAAAGTAAGAGTCCATTATAGTGCTACAGCTCTAATGATAAAAATAAGAGATGGAAAGTGTTTAATGTTAACAAAAAGTTTCTGTAAAAGCTGAAAAAGTTGGTAGATTACATTAAAAATGAACTGAAAAGATTTAAAGAAACTGTTTAAGTTCCCAGATCACTAATGTGGAACATGTGTACAATGTATTTAACGAACTGAGTACGTGCATGCGCACCACTGCTATCTTACTGGATGGATTCAGAACTGCTCAACTGAGTGTCATAAATCCTATACTGCTGACAGCTAATGGAGATTCTCCTTTAGCCTAAATTATAGGGACCTGAGCTTTTGGAGCAGGAGGATCTGAATTCCGTCCCCACTGTCGTTGTGGAGTTTCAGGGAGTCCCAAAAGACAACATAGTGATAACCATGAAGTCCTAGGTTTTGATAGGTTTTCTTACATTTACTTTTAAAAATAAAATAGTTAAAGAGCATTCTGATCTTTACGTACTACATTAAGCCTGGGGATGCTGTCTCTTCTGCTGTAGTTGGTGATCTCTCAGCCACTTCTTGCAGTGTAGGGAGAGCTGTTTTAGGTAACTAGGATGTTGTCAGTCAGTCGTTGGATAAAATGTAGAATCTTGAACTCAGGTCTTGGAAGGTTAGTAAAAAAGGAAATGATCTTATCTGAGCCTTGGCTCAGCAAGGCACCAGACAGGGAGTGAGGAGATCTGGGATCTGTTCCTGGCTCTGTCCAGGCAAGTCGCTTCCCCTCTCTGTACCTCATCTGTAAAATGGGCATTCTGAGATTCTTTGTAAAGTGATTTGAGATCTATGGAGAAAAGCATACTACATAGCTGTTAGGTGTTATTATGCCAGGCATGTTTAGTTAGCTAACTAAAGCTTTGTGGTTCACCTTTAAATAGAATTTCCCAAACTGGCTTTTATTTTGGTAGAATACTGTTTAAGTGCTAAGGCAGAGCAGCAACTGCAAGCAGGGTTATAGATATATGATGGCACAATTTACCTCTAACACACACAGTTTCCTGAATGAAACACACGCAGACCAGTAGTGATCCAAATCTAGATCCACGGTAGAAGCTAGTCAACTCTTTAATACACTTACAATAAAAAAAAACCCAGCGAGGTATTCTAAGATCACCTGAGTGCATTTTGCTTTTAGGAAAACAAAACTTCAGAGTCTAGATCTGTAATTAGGTTTATGTCACAACACTCAGCGTCACATTTATTTTCCACATCACTCACGTGTTAAATAAGCAATCATGCGGCTTTTGCACTCCACATTTAGTATGTTTGAACAAGGAGACTGCAAGCATTTCTAAACGATTCATGAATTGTAATGTCAGACATAACAATCTTACTTTTGTAGAGAGTATTCACAGCTATGTGTCCCTTCTTTGTGAGGCCCAAAGGATTAGGGTGTCATGTCAGAATCAGAATTAGCAATAAGGAATTCATCCCATGGGTAGCTGGAGCACAAGTGGTTTTGAATTCGAAATCATGACTTTCAAACAAGCGAACAATGAGGGGAGCTTGTTTTGCTCTCCCAGCAGTGAGTTATACTTGCTACTTGTGCTTTGTTTTCTCTTTGAAAGGGGACTTTGATACCAGACCCAGGTGCACCTCCCATGGAAGTCTGTCTGCCACATTCAGGGGATGCTGTTTCGGGGCTAGCAAATGCATGTCAGTTGCAAGGGAGGGTCACTTGTGCTGATTTGGCATGCACCGTTTTGGGCCAGATTGTGATCTTAGTTATCCTGCTGTAAAACTAGAGCAGTTTGAGTGAAGTCAGTGGAATTACTCTGGATGTACAAAGGGTAACTGCAACCACCATGAAGCCCTCACTTTGTCTTATGCTTTCCTCTGAGTTGTTTCTCCTGTTATACACCACACTCCTGGGCCCCTTCAGCATGTCAGCTTCTCTAGTTTTGCACACCTACCTACACTTTGATGCAAGTTACATTCCTCTATGCCTTACCATTATTTTCTGGCCAATTTATATCTAATACAGAACTTACCACATTGTTTGCCAGTTAAATTTGGCTCAGAATATTGCAAAAAAAAAAAAAAAAAAAAAAAAGACTATGTACACACATCTATTTACTCCCCCCACCTGGCTGTTCTTTCCCCTACATGTGTGTGAAGAACAGATTCCTCCTCCGCAGTCCACTGTCTGCACCTGTCTGATCTAGCAGCCAGGTCATGGCGCAATGTTAATGAAGTACCATCCAAACCCCACTGCAGGAGGGAGGAGGAAGGGCTGTTGACGAGGATGGGCAAACCCTTTCTCTAAACAAGATCTCCTTGATAACAAGAAACCCAGCTGGGAAAATCTTGAAGAGTGATGGGAGGGAAGTGGATTTAGGTTTAAATACAACACAAGATAGAGTTCCATCCTGTGGTTCTCCCCATGGCTACAGGGATGTTTGGGCATGGCAATCCAAGCAGCTCCACTTTGTGGAATGCTCAAATGAGCTGTAACAGAGAAAAGGAGGCTGAAGACCAGGTACCGGGAACTGTGCTTCCAAAGGCAGGAGTTCTGTTGGGTCTGTTGTGCCCTCGGCTCAAGCTGAACCATGTCTACAAAGGCGTAACTAACATTTAAGCAGATGGTGCAGGTATGGAAGAAGAAGCCACTTTGGGGCCTAACAATGGTACAGTCACAGGGGAGTTGGGGGCACAACCCACTTCATAAATGTGGTTGCCAGACTAGCATGGGGGGCGGGGGTGACTAGACGACCTCTTGAGGTCCCGTCCTGGCCTACCTCTCTGTGATTCTATAACAAACAGGCTTCCGCTCAGACTAAAATTTTATTTATACTTCAGACACATTTAAGGGCCAATCCAGCTCTTGTTGCAGAAAGACTTACTGCCTTCAATGAAGATTGGATCGAGCCCATTATTAAGACATGGACAGTACAGGCTTTTACTAGTTTGTGTACAGCTGCTATGGAAGGAGGACATGGCTCACAGAGAGTGGATTAGGTGTGTTCTCCACACCTTGTGGCGAGCTTTGGCCAGTGAGTACAACTCTTAAGGAGAGAAGCAGGGGAGCAATTTAAACAGTGATGACAGCTTTTCTCTTCCCTGTCCCTTAGTTGGTTTGGTAAGTAACAGTAAAGGCAAACAGCAGTCTATTGTCCCTTTGTGTGCACCGTAGGACTATGGCACTGATGACATACATACTGAATCCGCGTGCTGGTCTCGTATGGCTTTCTCTGGTCGAATGCACACTGCTAGACGCTAGAGGATACAAGTAAAGAAAAGGCCGGGGGTTAGCTACGGCTCTCGTGGCTAATGCAACTGGTGCCATGTTGGGACAAAAGCTGGGCCGTTTCTCTGCCTCTCTCACGTGCCATTGAAATGCCAGAAGCGTGGGCACATCCTTGTGATTCTCACATAGTTGATGGCACCATGTTGTCTGGTGCAGTTTAAGCCCATCACAAATGATGGTACGACCGCTCAGCGGGTGCACTGTGCTGTAAGGTTAATGCTGACAGGTTTCTCTTCGGGCAGGACGGCCCCTAATGTAATTGTGCGTGGGGTGTGGGAGCCCTGTGGATGGGAGATGGGGTCTTTCCCTCAGCTGAGGAGGAATGAGGGACTTTGGAACCTACTGAGCTGCTCTCAGATTGGTCACTACAGTGTGACGTGGGTTTGAAGCCTTTGAGAGGAACTGCTTGTCCTCATGGTTTTAGAAAGATTCAGGCTAATTCAATATAAACCCAGTGGGCCAAGTTCACTCATTGGGGTACAACAGGGAGGAGTTCTGACCATTGTAGACCAGGGATAACCATTAGAGCCATATTCCAGATGGGGCCCCATGGTCCCCTAGCCAGGCCTCGAGAAAGGCTTTAAAATGACTGTTGCTGGTCTAGGCCAGGCAGGCCAACAGTGCTAGCCTGGGCAAGTTTAAAACTAGTTTAATCTGTCATGATTTAATTGCCATGTGAACAAGGTCACTAGGGGATGAGCAGAACTTCTCTACAGAGCTTTCAGACCCTGCCAGCCTGTTGAAGACTTGACCCCTTTCAAGTCTTTCAAGCTGTGTTGCATCAAACTCTGGCTCCTACAATATCTGACCCACACAGGATTGTGACGCATGACACTTGGCTCTTCCTGACCTGTTTAAGGGATCCAGGAGTCCAGACCAGCTTGTACACCATGTAGAAAGGGATACAGATGAAGGACGATGCTCCTATGAGGTACCCCACTGAGATACTCCAGTCGGGGTAGTGATAGTCAAACAGCATGAGCGGTGGCTGGTCCAGGAGAGAGCTGACTATTATAAACTGTTAACAGATAACACAACCAACGTCAGGCGAGCACATTCATGGAACAGCGCAACAAGTCACATGCTCCACAACCACCCCTCGGCCAGTTTCAGTGAATTCACACCGGGGATAAATCTGACCTGGTGTCTCTTGTGAAGAGGGAACTGGTTAATTAGGGACATGTCAGAAGAGGACAAGTCTCCTCTGAGCAGCTAACTTGGCCTCTCTTACATGTGTCATGTGCCACTGCTCTGCATCACACGATCTGACAAATTGTCTGAGCAATGAAGGCTAAAGAGGCCAGTGGTTAGGCAAAGACTCCTTTCAGGCCAGCTGGGATGCCCCCACGCCTCCACCAGCAAGTCATGGGCCCTTCTGCAGTGCAAGGTACTGTGCCAGCTCCCTCCAGCACATGGGGGTACATTCATCCCTGGTGTAACCTCATTGAATTCCCGGGGGATCAGTTCGGGGGGATTATTTAGCCCTCGGCTTTGTGAGTTTAACGTCTTCGTTTAGGTACATTTGCAAGTGAGTTTAGCGCGAGGGAAGGGTCCTGCGCTCTCAGTCCTGGAGACAGACTCACTGTCTTTCTCCCCAGAATTGCTCCAGCCCAGGCAGCAGCAGTGCTAGCTTCTTCATTCTGCCCCGCCTATGTGTTTCACCCCTGGTCTAAGAAGAGTTCAGTCTCCAGAGTCAATTCAGCCAGTGGCCTCTCTGCCTGCGCTGCCAGTAAAGGGGCCAGTTGGTGCCAGCTCTGAGGCTGGTTTTGTGATGTGTCCACCAGGAACTTGACTGAGGCCAGACTTATCCCATTCAGGCTGCCCCTGGGAGGGTCCCTATCCGTCCCCCATGCCACTCCCCCAGGAATGTCAATAGAGGGCTGGCATTTTGTACACAAGCTTCATGCAGCCTGGTGGGAGCTCAGCAGCTACAACTCAGGTGCTCTGCAGACTGTCAGTGTCTCCTACTAAAGGGGAATGGCCTGGGATTGAGTTTAGAAATGGTAGTTCGTTAGTGTTTGCTGCTGGAGGAGAAGCTGTGGTTTCAGTGTGATACTTTGCTACTTATAATGTGAACAGATATTGCTGTATTGATGGAACCATCAGAACATTCACTGCAATCTCTCTCTCTCTCTCTCACACACACACACACATGCCTTAGAAGTCTAGGAGTTTGTTTAAAACTTCTAAGGGCAAAAAAGGAAAATAAAATACAGAATGGAGGGGCAGTAGCGTTTGGGAGAATTTAGAAAGCTAGTGTGGCGATATATCACAATGTGTGGCGATATATCACAAAGCCATTTAAAACAGCATCACTAGGTTTTTTCCTCTTGGAATTATTTGTTCATGATTATACTAGCATCACCTTGAACTCACTCTCCAATTAAATCAAATCAGCGTACAACATCTCACCAATCCCACTGTAAATATGAATGGATTGTGCAGCCTAACTTCATGCTCTTATTTCTCAGTGATTTGTATTCTAATCTTTAACGGCTAATCTGGATTTTAAACTGACATTTCCCAGAATTATATTCCTAACACTGATCCAGTTTGTTTGTGGGGTTTTCATCAGATGAAGAAAACAGCACTCCAGTCACATGTCTGATTGGTATAACTCAATAATTTTCCTTCTGCCTTGATGACAACCTAGAATCTCAAAGTGCTTAAAACATTAATTAATCCTCACAATCCCTCTCCCTGTGCAAAGTAGGTAATATGAATATCCTCCTCGTTTTACAGATGGGGCATTCTTTGAAGTCCAGTGAAAGGTTAGCACTTCAAAGGTGATGGATCCAGTACAAAGATGGAGTTGCATTTAAAATAGCAAACTTGGCAGATTAAGCCACAGTACATTTCAGTCTATAGTGTCAATAGCTTTATTTTATAAGGGGGAAATGATAGGGCCAAATTCATTGCTGGTGTAAGCAGGCATGATTGTGTTGACTTTAACTGAATTGCAGCTGCCAGCTGTGAGCTTGGCCCATGGTACATAGATTCTTATGAGCCTGAGCATATATTATATGGCCGTTTCTTTGACAAATACACAGTCTCAGTGAGTAGAGACAGCATGTCATGCTCCCTTTTGAACTTAAGAGTTTCCTATTGATTTCTTGCTACCACAGACAAAGGGGAGACTTTCCATAAGCAGCCCTTCTCCCTGACACATCCAAGTGGTTTTCTCTGTCACCATGAACTGGACAGGAAACTGCATGGGCATCTATGGGTCACAGGCTGTCAGGCTGCGTGCCAGAGTTCCAGCAAGCCGGAGAGGGACTTGCGTGGTAGAAGGTTAAAGGAAAGTTGGAAACTTAATTTTTTGCTTGGGACAAATATACTCACCGCTAAAAAGGCAGGGCTGATGGCAACCCAGCAGACCTTCCAGAATATCCCTGGGGTGAAGCCCAGCATGGCTTTGACATCGTTACAGAACCTCTGAATTCCTATATGGGGAAGCAGGGGGCAGGAAAATCACAGACATGGCGTCACTGTCACGGCAGGGAGAAATCAGGCAGCACATGCAGAGCAGAGGACGTATTTAGAAAGAGTTTCATGAAAGTGCTGGGAACTGCTGCATGTGTAGGTGGCCGTCGTTGGCCCCAGCCATTGGACAATTCATGCTCCTATAAACATTTATACACAGGGAGTCCATTGAAGTCAGTGGAACTTACTCATGTGCATGGAGTAAAGCAAGTGCGTAAGTCTTTGCAGGATCATGACCATAGGTTATTCTGGTGCATAATATAAGCCTAGTGCTGGAGTGGGATTTTTTTCTCCTTACCGTAAAACCATGACACAGCTATTGCTTCCAGTAACACCACCGCCAGAATTGAGCAACCGGCACCAAATTCCTCCAGCAGTTTGACAACATATGCTCCACCCTGGAATAACAAACACAAGCAGGCTGTAATTTTAGCGGCTCTTACACGGGAAGTGCAATGCTGAATTTTAGCCACTTCTATTGCACTAGTTTTCTCAAGCTTTCCAGTCACACTGGCGCTAACAAGCCCCATGTGCTGCTTGGGCGTGAAGGGGTTAAGAAGAAAATGAAGGAGACTTTTTTCTCTCCCTCAAGGTATTGGTTCAGGTGCCCGTCATGGGGCTGATTGATTGAGGGAGTCAGTATAAAGGGAGACTGCTGGGACACGTTAAGAGGAGCTAGATGTAAAAACAGGGAGAGAAGAGTTCTATGTTAACCCTCCACCCCACATGGAACAGGAACATACCAACAAAGCAGCATGGGGTCTGAAAAGGAAAACAAGGACACTTCAAACTACTAGAGTGTTTTGAATGTGTCAGCAAAATAGCCGATAACGGAGAGCCAGCTGATGAAGCTTATTTGGACTTTCTGAAAGCCTTTGACTAAGTCCCACACTCAAGGAAACTAATTAGTTTTGGGCTGAGGGGTACAGCTTTGTTATGAACTGGCTAAGAGACATGAGAAAAACCAATAGCAATAAATGACCCATCGTGGTTCCCTCAGGTTTGGGCTAGGACTGTTGTTTAGTATATTTATTAATGATCTGGGACATGGCATAGACAGCAAGGTAGCAAAATTTGCAAGTGACCAAAATTAGCCAAGCTAGTTGAGGGTGGAGAAAGTTGTGAAGAACTCTAGAGAGACCTTCCCAAGCCAGGTGAATGCGTGGTGCAGTGGAAATTCAATGTTGACAAATGCAAAGTCATTCTGATTGGAAAAGATCATCTGAACTGGGCTCTATGTTAGCTGTAGCCAGTTTTCCTGGCTGAACTTTTTGCAAAGCCTGTGATGTTGGACCTGCAGAGGAAGGAGGTAGTATCTAATGTGGCTCAGGCTTACTCACGTGTGTAAGGGTGGTGAGAGAGCCCAGAAAGCATATGGTGATGAGGCTAAGTACGAACAGCTCCCTTTGCTTTGCTAGGATGTGAGGGTATTCGTCCATTACCGCCGTGATCACAGCTTCCAGGCCTCCAAACTGCAAAAGCAGCCAGATGAGACATTGGGGTGAGCCAGAAAAATGAAACACAGGGTGAAATTTTGCTCTTGGTGCAATCCCACTAATGTGTGTGTTGGTTCATTAGCTTCATTGGTCTTTTCTGTGATTTACACCCATGTAACAGAGAGCAAAATTTACCCCCTCCCCAGGGTTTGATTTACAATTTCCTGCACAGATGTTATCAACTGTGGGGAACATGGTTTACCATGGTTCACCCTGGTTTATTTTCACATTTTAAAAAAAATCATGAAATCTTATAATAAAATGTTCAAATGAAATGAAATTTATAGAACACAAAAACCTTTTTTTTTTTTTTTGGTGAAAACTTTTACACTTTTGTTTTTTCCCATTTTCCAACCAGCTTTACCAAAGCTCAAGTTCTTCTGGCATCTCAGGGGCTTGTAAGGAACATTGATAGGCCAAGTAACACCAAATAGAAATAGGGCCTGATCCTGAGACATGCTGAGCACCCATTGCTCCCACAGCCTACAGGGAGTATTGCTCAAGACCCAGTCCTAGTTCTTTTGAAGCCAGTATTCCACTCACATGGACTTTGGGGGAAGCAGGATCAGGCCCTTACTGAACAGAGAGGAATCAAAGACATGTTGAGTTCTTCCACACCTGGGTCATACTTAGAGAGGTACAGATGGCGTATTCTTTGTTACCTTTCCTGCCCCCTCCCACCTGTGCACCCTGCCCCCCATTTTGAATGATATATAGCAGTGACCAAAAGTCCCACCCCAAAATAACCCTTTTGGGAGCGAGGGGCCTGGAATGTACAATCATGCCTTTCTTGGATCATTTTGCTCTCGCCCCATAGGGAAATCAAAGTACCTACCGTGCTGTCCAACCCCAGCGTGATCATCATGAGGAAGAATATGATGGCAAAGAAGGTAGAGCCCACCATATTTGCGATGGCCTCAGGGTAGGTGATAAAAAGGAGACTTGGACCTAGAAGGGAACATCAGGTTATGTCCTTCCATCCGGTTGCTATGAAAATAGTCTGTGATATGAAAGTCCCAGGGCATCTACTTTCTGCTCATGATGGCAAAAGCTGGAAGAAGTAAGGTGATTTTCTTCCCATGCCGGAAAAACATTTAGATGGAGATTTTCAAACGCGTGAGTGGCAGATAAATGTCTGTGAAAATCTTGCCCTTACTCATCCCTGCCAGGCATTACCAGTCCCTTCCTGGGTTGCTGGGGATTCCATCCCCTCCTGTGGCAGGTTATTCCATTTCCCAATTGACCTCGCTCTTGCTTAGTCTAATCATTTCAGCTTTGGCCATTGCTGTGTCTGTAGTCACCAATAGTGGGCACTGCACACAGTAGTCCCTAACTTCACCCCACATTTGTTAGCTTGCAGAGGACCATATTCTGCTCTCACTTGCAGCCGTGTGACTCCAGCACTTTGACATTTCTAGGAAAGCTCCAACCTAAGTCATAGTCTGGAATCTAAACGTTCATGCAGTGATCACTGTACGGACACACAGTATTTAAGCCCTGTGAGGTTGGTCAGAACGGTCTTTCCTTATGATACATGGGGACATTTGAGGCACAGAAAGGGGAAGTGACTTGCCCAGGGTCATACAGCAAAGCAAGGGACATAACTCAGATCTTGATACTCAGTATGCTGGTTTCACCCCCAGTCCCTAATGCATGGTTCCAGAGAGGCAGCTTGCTGATATCCAGAGCTGGCCAGGGCTAAGGGGAAGGGTGCTATTCCAAGGCTAACAGGTGTAAGGGAGGCAAACCTTTATCTTTTGCTACATCTTCCACCTCCATATCTCTCATTTCAGCCATGTAGCCCAGCACTGTGAAAATGACAAACCCTGACAGGAAGCTGGTCAGACAGTTCACTGCGCTGGTGACAATGGCGTCTCTGGAAGGCAGAACAGGAGTGGGTGACTTGAAGGGCAAGGTATTTCAAAAACTGGTTTTGCATTTGTATTTCTAGCCCCAGTACCTAGAGGCCCAAAACCTTCCCCTTATCCCCCTCCCCAAAGAAACCATAAAGTGTAAGAGCTGTAACAGTGGGGTTCAGTTCGCTCACATCATGAGGCACAAGAGGGATTCATTCCCATGTGGCTGAGTGGCCAGGACTGCTGCTGCTTCCAGCTCTGGAGGCAGGATTCGTGTTTGGAAAGGACAACTCTGCTTGCTTAGGAATGAACAAAGAGCCGGGCAGAATCTCCTTAAGAGTCCAAGCACCACAGGGTAGGGCACCCACCGGCGTAAGTGCTGGGATTTGCATTGCACCTGGGAAGTCCAATCTCTGGGACACTGACAACCAGCCAGGAGCCAGAGGGCTGCCCAGCCTGCTCCGTGCAGAACAGAGAAGGCTTTACACTGTCAGAGTTGGGATTAGCGCTCCAGAGTGCCTGGCCGCTCCTCTCTCAGTGAGGATCCCAAAGATTGCACATCTGGAAGTTTGGATCCTGCAGTGACAATTGGTTCAAGGCAGCCCTCGGTCCAGGTGACAGCATGGTCTCCCCCGGTGCTGGGATGAGAGCACTGAATAATTTGGGGCGGCTGGCCCTGCCTCTTGGGGTTGTGACCGATATGTGCAGAAACAGCAGGCAGGGATAGCTCAGTGGTTTGAGCATTGGCCTGCTAAACCCAGGGTTGTGAATTCAGTCCTTGAGGGGGCCATTTAGGGATTTGGGGCAAAAATTGGGGATTGGTCCTGCTTTGAGCAGGGGGTTGGACTAGATGACCTCCTGAGGTCCCTTCCAACCCTGAGATTCTACGAAACTGGTTCTTTCTGGAGGGCAGAGACAGTTCTAAGACCCACCCAGCTGAGCAATCCCATGAAAGCCCCCAGTGCCCTCTGGGAATCCACTGAAAGGTGCCTAGCTGCTTAGAAGCAGCATTCCCAGGCAGCAGAGAAGTGGCTGCCGATACCCTCCCTCACCAGTGCATGTGAGCAAGAGGGTAGCTGGAGGCCCTTGGCAGAGGCTTGGGCTCGCTGTCCTGCCGTGATGTGGCTCGGGGTGCGCTGCCTGACCATACAGGAATTGCACTTTCAGGAGTATTTTTGCTCAGGCAGAGGCCCAGCCGCCCTTCTGCAGGTGCAGTTTGTGCCTTCAGAACTTGCACCTGCACCTTTGTACCTGGCAGAGATGAACTGGGGACCCCGTTCTAAGAACTTGCTCCTCTGGTTTTTCCATTTGCACTGGGGGGAATGAGGAGCCAAAGGACTAGGATTCTCACCTGCAGGCAAGAAGGGGGGACAAGCGGCAGGCCCACCGGAGGGAGCCTGCCCTGCGCTAGCCCGTGCAGAGATGTGGCTGAGTTTTCTGCGTGTTCTGCTGCACATGGGAGGCTCAGCTCACATCCCTGCTTCTGGCTATTCTGCCAGGGTGGAGTCTGCGGTTTCTTACCGGTAACAGTTGTTGTTGAAATGGTTGTAACTGGCTAGCGCGAGAAGAACACCAAATCCTGGGCCCAAGGAGAAAAAGATCTGGGCAGCAGCGTCAACCCAAACCTGGCCAAAGAAGCAGAGACACTGGTTAGACGCAGGAGACCAGGTGGATCCCAGGGGCTGTGACCCGGCCAGGAAGCCCATCTCCCAAACACACACTGGCCGCCTCCCACTCTCAGGGAGACAGTGGCAGGGGGTGTGAATCTGGGCACCACAAATAGGTCAGCTTCCTTTGCGTTCTCTCTGACTCCCAGGCAGTGTGTAATGGAGTGCACCTCTTACCGTCTGTTTCTGAAATTTGCCTTTTGCCTCATTTTGAAAGCGCAGAAAAAATTCCAGGTTGGCCAGGGTGCCTGAGGCACCATGCCTCATGTGTATGTCTGCTCTTTTCAGGACCCGTCTGCGCTGGGCAATTGCATCACTCTGGAGCATGACCAAGAGGAGTGGTGGTAACTAACATGGTATTAGACTCAACTGAGTATAGACAGGGTATTATGTCAGCAGGTCATGGTTAGCCCCAGGGATCCACTAGCTGCTCCAACGCTGAATGCTCCATGCTAGATTCTTGTTTACACTGTAGCCCCTCTGCACCATTCTCACAATGACGACAGGTGTTACGTGTGTAAATGTAATAGTTCCCATGCAGCTCAGGGACCGGCTTTAACACAATGTGAGGTCCCAGTGCAGATGAGCCCTTGGGTTGTGTGTCACATTGGTGACCCCTATTTAAATATATTTTCCTGAATACTGTTTTTGGATGTGGTTCCCTTGCTTGCCCTTGCTCTCCAATTCCTCCTGGAAGGACACCCCAGACATAGGGAGGAGTTGGGGAGACAGCTCTTCTAGGATGAAGGGAAGCAGGTGTCCTTCCAAGGGTAATTTAGCAGCAGAGAACTTGAGCAATGACACCTAATTCAGCTGCAATCTAAGCAGAGAAATCAGGATGAGAGAAGGGATGAGGATGTGAAACTGCAGTACTCCTGAACCCTCTCCTGGCATCCAGCTACACAGGGGCTTGGCTCACAGTTCCTGGAAGAAGTGATGGCTGCAGCATGATTGGCTGTGTATCTGTTTTGAAAGGTTTTAATTGGAAAGTATATCACTGATTACCTTTAATGAAAATTCTCAAGTGCAGCTCTGCACTAATTACAGACAGGAAGTCTGTTGTCAGGCCAGCTTTACAAAGATAGGGCGAAAACACAACATAAATAACACTCAACGGCAAATGAGATGGGTGATTCAATTAAAGATTTACATTTCCAAGAGCTTGTCCAGTGCGCCTCTATTTTCTGAAGGAATAATGACCCCATTACTCTCTGGGTCTCAGATCTGTGCTGGGAGTCTCTGCCAAATGAATCCGCAAGCACTAGCTGCTGGGGGGGTTGGGGTGGCATTTAAAGGCAGTTGAGGTGGATACAGCAGATGTACCATCATGTGGGAGGATGGGAGATCCAGGAGGTGCAATTAATGTCACATTAAGCACATTTAATGCTGCTGCTCGCATCATCTCCCTCTGATTGGTTGCTCTGATCACATCAGCCCCTCCCTCTGAGTCCCCCCTTCTCTACCACATTGCTTACAAGTCTTTGTCCTTGCCTTTAGACTGGGACTGTTCAGCCTACGAAAGAGACGACTAAGGGAGGATATGTTTGAGGTCTATAAAATCATGACTGGTGTGGGGAAAGTGACTAGGGATGTGTTATTTACCCCTGCACATAACACAAGAAGCAGGGGGTCACCTAATGAAATTAGTAGGCAGCAGGTTTAAAACAAACAAAAGGAAGTACTTCTTGACACAACGCACAGTCAACCTGTGAAACTCCTTGCCAGGGGATGTTGTGAAGGTCAAGAGTAGAACTGGGTTCAAAAAAGAACTAGATAGGTTCACGGAGGATAGATCCCTCAATGGCTATTAACCAAGATGGTCAGGGATGCAACCCCATGCCTTGGGTGTCCCTAAATCTCTGACTGCCAGAAGCTGGGACTGGATGACAGGGGAGTAATTGCCCTGTTCTGAAGCACCTGGAACCAGCCACTGTCGGAAGACAGGATACTGAACTAGATGGGTCATTGGTCTGATCCTGTGTGGCCGTTCTTGTGTTCTTTAAGGCCCCGCATGACGTAGCCCCAGCCTGTAGCTCCAGCAGTGAAGGGCAGTATGGTTAGGGCTATGTTACCATTATGTCGCACTCAGAGCAGCGGGAGGCGACATGGCAGAAGAAGGCCCATGTCCAGTCAACACAACAACCTCCAGCCTGGCTGGTGCTGGCAGAGATCCTACACATCTGATTGTCCCTCATGTAGCCAAGACTGTTGAGTTTGGGCTGGCATGTGTGGAGCTTACCCTATGTCTGTCCATGCTATACCTGTCCTGGGATAGACAAGCAGAGGCCTGATGTCTCCAGGGCTGTCAAGCCAGCTCTGACATCACAGAAATGGTTTTAAATATAAAAATGAAACAGAGCACTGAACCTGTCTTAGCATCTTCCAGGCTCTTGGGTGGCTCCTGTGCACATCACTAAATACAACAAACCCCCAGCAGCAAGGAGTGCTCCTGAGCAGGTCAGAGCCTGTGAAGAGGCTCTGCTGGGTGTAACTTACAGCAGTGCTCATGAGCTTCTCCCAGTCGGGTCTGAGATAGAAGACGATCCCTCTCCAAGCCCCTGGCAGAGTAGCTCCCCGAACCAGCAGTATGAGGAGGACGATGTAAGGCAGCGTAGCTGTCACCCACACCACCTGAAAGGAGAGACCAGACAAGGGTTTCAGTGAGCAGGAGAGACAGACGCCGGCAGCTCTTCTAGGTCACATCCAGCAAAGAATATTAATGCAGATATTCGCAGGGTTGTCACCAATGCTCTGTGTCAAATGGCCTCCCGTCTTTGTGTCTGAGCTGGTGAGAGACGAACGGAATTCAGTTTTGGTGGCCACTGTTTGGAATGATCGCTCAGCTGGGGGAGGTCAGAAAATGACTCTCCAAACCCCAGTGACGTTAGAGTCTGCGCCTGGCTTGCTGATCAGTGGTGCAGTGAGCTTAGAATGGGTTCGCTCATTGCCTTTGGCAAACGTAGGAAGTAATTTCACACCTCCCAGGTGATGCTGCACTGCTGAGAAAGGATGATAGATACAGCTTGTGGGGGACTTAGTAACAACTTTGGCAGGGAAATAGCTAGATGGACCTCATGTAGTCTTTGCAAGACTTAGATCTTACAACTAGGCATTCCCATGCCTGACCTGGGAGTAGGTGGGGGAAGTGTGTGCTCAGGGGCTCGGCATGTACTGATCATTCAGATATAACAGTCGGAACAGAGGTTACCCTAATTGATCCTAACAACAACATTCTATGCTATGTGCTTATTCTGGAGGCCTGATTTGTGCTGAGCCCCCACTGACTCCAAGTGGGCACCGCACGAGCGGGCCACCACGTTTCCGACAAATCTTGTGTCAGTGAAAAATGCAGATTCGGCAACATCAAAATGTTTGGGGAATCTATGTCGGTTTGGCTGACTTGTTTCAGTTAAAAACCAGACACAGCTTCTGAACAAGTCAAAATGTTTCAATTTTTCAATTCAAAATGACTTTTTGTTTTGAAAGTTCCTTCAACTTTGTTTTTGTTTTTGTTTTTAAATTAAAACAAACCCTTAAATGCTTGAAATCAAAGCAAAACAATTCATTCAACCCCACATAATTTTTTTCAACTTTTTGAGTCACTGAAAAGTTTAAAAAAATTTGTTTTGGGGTTGGAGTGATTTTTTTTTTTTTACTTGCCATTGAATCAAAAAATCAGTTATCTGCACAACTCTACCCAGCACTGCTGGAAATCAGGCCAGGAGGTGTGTTTTTTGCTTCCGCTTCCCATTTATTCTTCTGCAGACTGTAGTACAGCGTACAGACAGAACCCCACAATTATGGCTGGCAAGCAAGGAGTGCCCAGTTTCAAGGGCACCTTAAATTGTTGAAAGGGACTGTATTTAGCACTGAACTGGAGTGAGTACCATCGTTGCAAGCTTTGGGGCAGTGAGAACATGAGGCAGACAGACTGTAGGAGAAAACCACCTGCATTTCTTATAGACTGTCTCATGGCGGCAGAGCAGATATGAGTTACAATATATTGGATGAATTTTGCCTTTTTTCTTTTATTTGCAGATTGCCAGGGATCAGATGCCAGAGTTCTCATGTGTGTTTATTATTGAAATGACTCCCATATTTCATGGGTGAGCAATCCTTGGGTGGCAGACCTTTGGCAATATGCAATCCCTGCTCTGTCAAGGAGTCCCATCCATTACAGCAGATCACAAGCGCAGTGAATGCGCTGTACCAAGCTCCTCTGCTGAGGTGCTTGCTTGTGAGATGCCAAGTGCTAGGGGTGTGCATCTATCCAGCAGGCCCTGAGGGTTAATGCACCAGGCTCTGCGTTAGCCGTATGATGCCTCTGCACTGAAATATGATGTTATTACTCATTCGGACGCTGCCAGGAAGATCCAGTGTGGGAGCCCTCCTTACCTTCCCTGAGGTTTTCACTCCTTTCCACAGGCTGAAGTAAACAATCGTGAAGATGAGAAAAAGGCAAAGGATAAGCTGCCAGCGGATCCCGCCAACGTCATACAGGCCACTGGATTTCTGAATCTCAAGGACCTTTCTCCTGTGGCAAAAAACCCCGGCGACTTAGTCACTAATACAAGAAAGAGAAGGAAATGCTGAGCCATTGTCCACTGGTAGGCTGATGTAATGGTCAGATCTGACACTCTGCCCCTGGCATGCACAGTCCAGAATGCCCTTCGCCAGAAGGAACATTGTCAAGCTGTGACAGACCTGTAGGAACCACGGTCGAGAGGGCAAGGCCGAAACCTAAGTGCTGGGACTCCTACATGCTGCTCTTCACCCAGTCCCTGGCTCACTGTGTATACCGGCCTAGGGGTTGGCAAATCACGTAACCACTCTATGCCTCAGTTTCCCGGCATGTGAAATGAGGGTAATACTACTTACTCACCACATGGAGCAGCAGGAACCATGTTTGTAAATCTTGCTGAGAGTCCCAAATGAAAATATAAAGCAGTGTTATTATGTGTGTGCCTAAAACGGAAATGCCAAGGATCATTCCCTCTGCTACTCTGCACAGTAGGCCCTCATGCTGAGGCGCTGTGGTGACTGGATGCCAATGAGCAAGAGATTCCCTCCTCGCCCAGTCACGTAATCCACTTACATGCACTTACGTATAAAACTCTTCTGCTGGTGACTTAGAGAAGGTGGTCCAAGTCACGTTGCTCTTTCCAAAGTAGTTGGTGCAGTTGGGGGTGTTCCAGGGATTGTCACAGCTTGTCCAGGGCAGGGTACCAGTGAAGGAGGAGTAGAAATAATACAAGGCCCAGGCGATGATGGTGTTGTAGTAGAAGGAGACATATAGGGCGATGATGCAAATAGCAAAGCCAATGCCTGTGTGCAGAGAAGGGCGAGGTCTTCAGAGGAGCACATCATGGGGTCCCTGGGAACCAGGCAGTCCATGCATATTGGTTCTCTTCCACATCAGCCATGGCATCCCTGCATAACTCCATGGGACTGAGTGAGAGCTGTACACAGAGCACGGATTCCAGGGATTGGAGCTTTATTCCCATGCACTGCTAGTAGTTAGTTGTGTCAAGCCAGTTAATGAAGTTACATCTGGGATGAATTTGCCCTATTGTGACAGCTACTTATTTCTGTGGTTTTCCGTATTTTGGACACTGCTGCTTTTCGAGGAGCAGGGGAACAGGTTGGGGGAAGGGAAATGAGAAGGGGAAGGAATCCCGGGAGTGGGGTCAGGGATCTGGGGAGCTTGGACAGCCATGTGCTGCAAGGCTCTGTGTGCCGGGAAGGAGGGGCAGTTGAGACATGGAAGAGGTGTTATCTGTGAGCTATAATATTACTGCAGATGCATCTCACAAGGGGTGACAATGTACCTACCTTCAGCAGGACTCCTATTTACCTTAATTTCTCTGGCAAAGCAGAGGACACAGCCCGTTAATGCTAAGTGAATGTTGAGTTTCCAGGGTGGGGGCAGGGTGTCTCACCTTTAAAGATGGGACAGATGCGTTTCCAGATGGAGATAGCTCCTGTCCTATGAAACTGTCCCAGGGCCAGCTCCATGTAGAAGAGAGGTACTCCTCCAAAGATGGCCATCAGAGTGTAAGGAATGAGAAAGGCCCCTGCAGAGAGAGAGGCAAAACCACCACAGAACATCATGGCATCCACAGCAGCAAAGGCAGACTCACAAGCCAGCCAGGCAGGTTGGGGATATCTATTTGAAAGAGCATGTCCCGGCTCCAGGACTGAGTCACCGATCCTGCCCCTCTCTGAGCCCAGGGCAGGCACCTGACCTCAAATCCTGCCCTACTAAAGTCCGTGGGAGTTTTCCCATTGACTTCAACAGAGCCAGGATTGCACCCCGAAGTTACAGCTGTGACTTTCCTGCTACCTCATTGACAGAGGGCTGGTTGCACAAGGGCTCTGCACCCCTCATGGCAGCACTGGAAAAGACCTCTTCCTACACAGCCCACATCGACATCCGAACCCTGACAACAAGGGACCCATTTAGGTAGCAGACCTGCCTGCAAACAGGTAGGTATGTACCAATCCCCCAGCTTCCTGGGGAGTTGATGCTGGTGGAGTTACACAAAAGGTGAATTTGGCCCATCTTCCATGCAATATGTGGGAATGTAGATGAGAGATCATTTACTGAGTGGGCTCAGTGTCTGTGGGACATACTGCAAATTCTCAACAACACTATCAGGGTACATGCATGCTTGTAACGGAGCCAATGAATCAATGTTTTCTCCCTATGAGCTGTGGTAACACACTGGCTTTTATGAGTGGTTGGATGTTCTGAAGTTTGTATGCGATTGTATCATTACTTGTACGTAAAGGGGCCCAATTTTAGCCAGGAACAGACGGATTGGCTGTAACACTGGGCAATGCAGACGATTGGAAGGGAGAGAATGAGATATTAAGCACCTTTCAGGTTTTAAAGGCTCTACAGACAAAATCCCAATGAATATGTATCGTCACTCAATGAACTCAATAATTAATGCTGTAATTTGCATTATTCATAACAATGCTGTAATTACCAGGGTTAGACTTGTGCCCACTGGATTCTTTCTAACTGGAACTGCTCTCTCTATTCATCAGAATACCCTACTGGGATTAGTTAACTTACCCCCCACGGCTCCTCTCTCTGAAAGTCCTATATCCGAGGAAATGGCTGTTTAATACTACCCAGTGCACATGTGGGGTTTTCCTTTAGATGAATGGTCACTGGCAAGGGGTCATGTAGGGAGATGTGGGTATCACATGAGTTCCTGTGAATGTGAACAAGGGACATTTAACTCCTTCTGCTCAGGAAGGTACATGACAAGGTGGGGGTGAACCTGCAAAGATGTAGGGTTCCTGCTTGGATCAGCATCCAGAAATCTGGATACTTCTCGAAACTATCTAAGCCCCCTGCAACTGCAGACTCAGGCTGGGAATCCAAGAGCGAGGACTCATTAAACACATTTTCCAATATGCCAGTGTCGCACTGACCCCAGAAAGCTGGAAGACAAGGGCGAAAATGCCTGCTCAGCAGCTGAAAGGCTGCAGTGGCATCAGATCCGTGCAAGTGGAGGCAGTGAAGGAAAGTGATCTGGATCCCAAGGGAATTCGTGGCTATTCATCCCCACCATTGCCCCGCTCCCGGGCCACAGGATGGCCTTGAGCTACCACAGCGGCCAGCAACAGGGACGGTGTCTTGCCAGATGTCTGTACAGCCCCAAGCACAATGGGAACTGACCCTGAGCACAACTGTAATTTAAACCATAGCGGTGGTAACATGAGGTCATGTAACCAATGACGCTGGGTCTCAAGGGGGAGGAGAATGGAAGAATTGTACTGAACTCTTCATTTACAATCAGAACAGGCATAGCCACGCGGCAACCGGTGCAGATGGGATATAGAGCTTGGTTATTATTGGCTCAGCTGGGTCGTACCATTTAAGCACAGCCCAGAGTGAGGGGCAGGGCGGAGCTGCGCTGAGCAGGGGAAGCAATGGGAAGCATTGTACCTTGCAGATACAGAATGCCACCCAGAGCTCCCAGGTCTACAAAGGCTGAACCTGTGCAGGATGCAGCTTATTACTCCCCAGGAGGGTGCCCCAAGGGGAAGGGAAGCTCTGACTCCATCCCCTTTTGGAGCTCTGTGCACAGGAGCATGGGCTTATAGATTCCCTCATGGTGTCAAAAGACTGACTCCAAACCTCAGTGGTGTCAGGCAAGGGCAAGAGAGCGGGAAAGTGAAACGTTTGTAAAGGGGAAGGCTGCCAGCCCCTGCTCTGCACAGCACAAAGAAAACAACCAGCACCTGACAAAGTACACGGCAGCCCACACTTCTTTCAGCTCCACTGAGCAGTCTCATTCTTGGTAAGCTGGGGAAGGATGCTTCAAAACCACGCTCTCTCTTCTGACCGGGTCCTTTCAAGCATGAGCAAACTGCAACAACTGGGCAGGAATAAATGGCATCCCGCGCCCAAACACGAGCATCCGTTGCCACTGGCCACCTTTTGTAGAAGCCAGGTCAGTCTTTCCTAGCAGGATTTCTGACCGCAGATTTCAAGCACTAATCACAAAAGCTGCACTTGCTGCCCCAGCGGTGTCAGAGTGTCCATTAGCCCGAAAGGGGATGATGCTGTTTAGTGGCTGGCTGTTTTCAGTCACTGTAACTCCACCCTTTACTGCTGTCAGTTGGAGAGGCACAAACAATCCTGTGTACAATGGTGTCCCTAGCCTCTGTTTGCCAGAAGCTGATGATGGGCGACAGGGAGTAGATCACTTGATTCCCTGTTCTGTTCATTCCCTCTGGGGCACCTGGCATTGGCCACTGTTGGAAGACAAGACACTGGGCTAGATGGACCTTTGGTCTGACCCAGTCTGGCCGTTCTTATGTTTTTATGTACAACTAGGACCCCAGAGCGCCTCTTAAAGGAGCTAGAAACTAGGCTGAACAGCCTGTTGCTTGAAATCTGTATTTGATATCTTGCCAGGAGCAATGACCCCCCCCACCCCCCGACAAGTACTGCTGCAGCAATTCGTGTGCGTCCTACTGGAGGTCAGCAGGAATAGTCGCATGAAATGCGAACAGAGGCATAAAAGGATTGAGACCTGGTTCACTACAGTCTCTCTAGCCTGCTCTGTATAGAATCTGATCATTTGCCAAGGGAGAGAACCAATGCTGGGCACCTCTCTCTGCAAGGAAGGCAAAGGCTGCAAACTCCTGACGGAAGCAAGGCTGTGCTAGCTGCCGTTGCTATTTGCTACTTTCAGGGAGCGTTTTAAATGTTAATAAAAAAAGAAACGTGTTCACAGTAGACAGAGTTTGAAAGTTTCCTCTTACTTTGTAGGTAACTTGCAGCCCACAACTGTAACAACTGACACCGCATTCAATTTTCTGGAGGGAGAGAAGCTCAGAAACTGGCTTTTATGAAAGCAGAGGGTTGGTCTTGGAAGGAGAGCTTAGGGAATGGCCTTTTCATGAGAGTGCAAATAGTTCTGTAAGTTCTATTGTGTGACAAAAGCAGAATGTCTGCGAGGAAGGAAAGCCAGTTAAAACACAATTACTTTTATTAATGTATATTAGGAGCATAAGTGACGAACCAATCAGATCTGATGTGTGCTCTCTCTCTCTCTCTCTCCCCCCTCTCTCTACTTCTCTCTTTGTGCCATTTCCTCTTTCTTTCCTTTATTAAAGACACCCTGTGATTGTTTTGACAGTTTTATTAAATGGCTTTACATTTATATTTACTTGGCACATTTAAGAAAAATATGCTCAGGCCAAATTGACCAGCAAGGAGCTAATGGCTGCCCTCAGTTTCACTGGGGTTAATCCAGAATAACTCCATGGATTTCAGTGTAGATATTTTGGATCTACATGGCTGAAATGGAGATCAGAATCCAGCCTGCAGTGTGTAGCCTGGCATTAATTATTTTCTTCTAATTTGCCGTGCATGAAGGTGTGATACCCAAATGGCCATGGCTTTTGGCAGTGGAATCCACTGTGTCTTCTGCAAACAACACAAAGTCTTCATTTCCACATTTTCACTTTCTTAAAAAGGATTTTTCTACTCTTGTTTATTTAAAACAGTTTGTTTGCTCATCAGTTGCTGGAAACCTGTTCTAAAATCAGGATTCTGGTTTGTCTTGAACTTTCAGGTAATTATTTCTATCAGAAAGAAATAATCGGAATGTTTAATTAATTGGTTGAACTGCTGAAATCTGTTTTATTTAGTTCTGAAGGCTAGTACCATGGACAGCTCCTTAAGGAGCTATTTGGCTTTATTTTTCAAGCCCATAACTGTGCTAGCCATACACCTGTAATCCTGCACAGTAATCTTAAAGCAAGGATGTTTTGGACATTTGAAGTTATGATCTTAAAATGTAAACCATCACAAGTGATCAGTTTCTCAAACTGGGAAGACTGCAAAGTTAACAACAACCACACAGGATTTGATCTTTTTGGTCCCATTTGTCATTTGCCGTTTTCTTTTTTAAAAACTTCTATATTAACCATAAAAATTGCACTTCCCCTCCCATATTCATAAATTCACACCTCTAATCTCATGAGGATCAGCATTGCTGGAAAGATATTTAAAATAAGAGCAGGTAAAACAGAAAAGAGAGACAAATCCCAGCAGAAGTTTTGTCATTCACTGAACTTTCTGGGTTCACAATAAATGCTGTAAGAACCAACTAAACAAGAAAGAAATAATACATTTTTAAAATTTGAAAAATAAAAAGTCACTTTCTTTTCTTTAGAAGAGGATTACAAAAATAAAGCTGTGTCCTTACCCCCTCCGTTCTGATAACAGATATAAGGGAACCTCCAGACGTTGCCCAAATCTACAGCAAATCCAATCACTGATAAAAGAAAATCCATTTTTTTGCTCCACTTGTCCCGGGAATCCATTTGGGTCATGAGCAACACAGGGTTGGCAGTGTGGCTGGGGTTTGTTTTTATATCCTGTCTGGGAAGGCTATCCGCTTGAATTGGAGAGTTTTGTTCTGACATTCTGCCTCTGATGCAAATCCTGCAGGATTCAAGCTGAAGAAGTTTGAGAAGGGAAGGATTTTTTATGGCTCATGACAGCTCCAAGGAGGGGAGTGTCACACTGACTGGGCTTCTCCACCTCCAGCCTGGAAATCCACACCAGGAGAGAGGAGCCATAAGAAAGACCCATCCTTTGATCAAAGGCAGGAGGGGGAGTAGAGAAAGCATTTCATTTAGAGCATATCACTGAAATGCTGGGACCAACTGTATAGTGCTGGTGTTTTAACAGGTTCTCTTTCTAGAGGTTTGATATCAGTACAGGCGTACACTGTGCTCTTGTGCAGGGTGAAGTTGTTGCAAGGCAGAGCGTGACATTTATCATTATCATTCCTACTACGTTAGGTTGATTTGGAACAATTCAGGTTAAGTGAAAACGTATTTTCATGTTGCTAGCCTGACCACTCCATCCTACGTTCAGTTGCTCTTGATTATATCATGGGCAGGGCTGGCGTGGCAGGTTCCATAAAGACCATGGATCGATGTATCTGTACATAGACCTAGCATTACTTCTCATCAGAAGCAGCAGTTCTGCTTTGCTCTCACACTGTCTGATAAACAGCTATGGGTTCATTCTTTGTAGATTTTTTTTAGAAAGCCACAGTCTCCTTAAATTACTAATAATGGACAAATTATAATGACTTCAAGGACTCTACAGTTCAGTCTTCCAGGGGAAATCTGTCCTAAGTTATGACTGACTTAAAACGTCATTTTACTAGGTAGGCTGCAAAAGATACAAATGAACTCACCCAAAACACACTGTTTACGCAGATTACAAAAAAACATGGTGCCATTATGAACCAGCAGGCGGGTATGTGTTTCCAGTTCTTACAGTGAACTTTCAGAATTCTCTCTTTGCATTATCCTTTAAGGGTCTGTCTAGGTTTACATTCTCCCTGTTTCTTTATGTAGCAAAGGGCTATGGGCTGCCCCCAATAAACCATCTGAAAGTGAAATAATTTTTTTGCAGAGCAAATGTTATTAGGAAAGGGATTGCACTATAATAAAAGGTCATTACACTCTTTGCAATTTGATTGGCATCTTGACAAATTTTATTACCAACATAATTTCTTTGGCTTGGTTCAGTGCCAGAAACACTGACATAGAGAAACAAATAACTCAGGGACTATTTTGCAGAGAGAGAAGTGGATTGGCGGGTAAAAATGTTATGAACTCTCCTAGCGCAATGCAAAGCCTGTCTCAAAATAGTAACCATGAAAGGAAAATAGGCCCTTTGGCACATTGATCATTTTTACCAGTTTACACTCTTGGGCCCAATCCTGTAGTTCTTACTCAAGCAAACCCACCACTTAAATCAATGGGAGTTTAGCTTGAGTAATGGCTGTGGTTTGACACCCCCCTCTCCCGCCCCGGTTTTCTGCAGCACTATATGAGAACATAGGATTGACAAGTCTTATATTTCTTACATTAGCTGGTCTAGTTCCTTAAACTATCCCTGGGCAATGGAGCTATGCTGATTTGTACCACTTGAGGGCCTGGCCCAATATAATCTTTTGCTACAGCACAGAGGAGTGGTAGGTATATTTGTAGCTCCTCAATAACTTCGGCTGCATTGTCACCTGTATTTTGATTGCCTTTGTTCTTGTCTATCAGCTATATTTAACCATTGATATTCCAACCTCTTCTGTTCCAGCATCTCCCTCTCTCTCTTCAGTCAGACCCTGGACTCTGTTCATGCACTGCTATAGCAGCTGATTTTTTACTAAGGTGTTACCAGCCCTGGGCTACCTGCACCCCTCAACATGCTAGTGGAAATCAGTGGGAGATTTTGGTACACAGCGGTTGTCAGACTGGCCCCTTAGAGAGCAGCGACTGCCCCAAATCCCTGGGAGAGCTCAAAGGACAAACCCTCTATTGATTTATTTATTCTCTAAGGAATCCTGGTTGTTCTCTCCCCCTGCATCACCTCCCCTGCAATACACAGAAATGTCTCACCACAACGGTTATTTTTGCCTAATACTTTGTTTTTTTTTACCATAACAGAACACTGTGAGAGACCATTGAAGCTCAGCATGCCGGATCACTCCACTGAGCCAGGAGGCCCTCTGTCTGAGAGACGGCTACCCCATGCCCATCACAAACAGACCGGCTGAAAATGGGGGCATCCAAGAAGTGGGTGGCAAGTTGGACAAGAAGCACAAAATCAGTTTGACTTCAGTGGCTCAGTTCTCTCCTGGAGGGAAGCAGCCCTGTGAGCTTTGCAGGTGCAGGATAAAGAAAGAATCGTAGAATCATAGAATCTCAGGGTTGGAAGGGACCTCAGGAGGTCATCCAGTCCAAACCCCTGCTCAAAGCAGGACCAATCCCCAACTAAATCATCCCAGCCAGGACTTTGTCAAGCCAGGCCTTAAAAACCTCCAAGGAAGGAGATTCCACTAGTTCCCTAGGGAACCCAAGGGCTCCATGAAGGCCAAGGAACCCAAATTCTGTAACCAGCAAACTTCCTTTACAGCCACCCAGACCCTGCCCTCTTCCAGGGCTGAAATAATGACAGTGGTGCAGGCCCCTGCCCTATAGCCTCCATGCAGGGGGATGCGGCTGCCCTGATCTGCCGTAGTGTTTCACTACTGTCGAAATTTGTAACCGTAGCCCTCGCTGGATGTTTGACAATAGCCGGGAACTCTTCATGCACAATAGAACTGGGGGGGAAGGGAGAGGAAAGAAGGGAGAAAATTGGCAAGAAACTCAGATCACGGCATCTTTTGTGGCATGGAGACTTCTGTTGGTGTTGGGGCGTCCCTCTTCTGTCAAACATGGGGGGCTGGATGCAGGCCCCTCCACGCACTGACCAGAAAGCGTTCCTCAGGACACTGCTACAGAACAGCTCTTGCCACTGCACTTTCAGCTCTGCTGGCCTGTGGTTTCTCAGGATAACTCTTCCTGACCCAATTGCTGGGCTGAGTTGTTATGCTTATTACCATGGATTATCTGTACTGAGGTAAAGCCGAGGGCCCCCCTGTGTGCCAGGCATTGCACAAACCCAGAACAAAGAAATGGTCCCAGCCAAAAGAGTTGACAGTTGAAATAATCTTAAAGTTACATGAATTTTAAGTCATCTAAAGCGTTCAGGAATCTCTGTACCCACTGCCCTGATAGACCGCACTGATGACGTCTCAGGGTTTTTTGTACAAACCCTTATGGGGCTCCTCAGGGGTCCCTATGCCTCACTGACACCACAACCCTTTGGGCTCGGCTTACAAGTGAACAGCTGCTGTCCTGCCAAGTGCTCTGGGCTCAGAGAGCCAAGCTGGGGTCTCTCCATCTCATGCATCATCACCAGTATCACAGGTTCTGCAGGGCAAATTAGACCCTCCGTGGCCTCTGTGCAGCTTGGCCACCCCTCTTGGGCTCCCACCTATGTAACTGGGACACCACAAACTGCAGACGTGCTGCACGGTGCACAAGAGAATCCAGATCACGCTCTCACAGGTGGGCTGTCTCCAAGGGGCTCACAGAAACACCTTCCGTCCTTCAGCTGAGTGGATCTAACCCCGAGCCCTGCTGGGACAGGTCTGCAGGGTAGAACAGCAATTTAAATGTTGTTACTGTTCCTAGCCGTTGGCCCCAGTGAGCAGAGGGCTGGGAACAGAGTGGCGGGTGGTGTTCAGAAGGGATCTGAGCCCCAGTCCTGCAGGGAGTTCTGCCAGGAGAAAGCAGGTCACTCAGCTCCATGGTCCAGTTCATCCTTGGCCCTCATAGTGACTGACGTCAATTGCTGTGGTGATTTTATGTTCTGAGGACACCTGTCTGGACGGCATTGGGCTGAGACGACCAACTGGTTTCACATTGGCCGTGGATCTGATATCAATGACCTTGGGTCATTACTGACCTGTGCCAGGTTTAAAACAGTGACCTCCAGGGGACAGGCTCTGTCCCCAGTCACTGAGGGCCTGGACATTCCCAGAGTGCCGCATGATTGCCAGAGGGCCAGGAAGCGAGCGGCATTTGCAAAACGATCAATGGTCCAGTTCTGGATTGGCTGATATCAGAGCAAGAGCTGCTCCAGTGCCAGGTTTTTCACCCACCCCTCAGCTGTAATTAAGAGGAACTACAAAAGAGATCAAAATTGGACATGTGGTTAGTTACCGGCCGGATTAACAGGTTTCCATGACTACGTGACGTCAACTATTTTACAAACTCCACCATTCTGCACACCTGTGCAGAGACCAACTCCGAGGGACACAATAGCACTTGCCGATCCAGCCTCCTACCCAACACTCAGCAGTGACTGGCTCCATTAAGATTTGCTCACGGAGGGACTGGGGGATCAGGGGAAACTTTTTCCTGGAGGCTTTTTATAAATTATTCACATCTATGCAAAATCTATTTAAAACAGTCGAATAAAAATATGTCAATATGAATGTGCATCACGTGGCTGAAAACTGCTGCCCTGGCGGTCACTCGCTGAAGCAATTCTGGGAGAATAAAACATCTGTAAAGGAACGAATACGTTTCAAGAGGTGCAAATAAAAGGCCAAATCCTCAGCTGTCATAAATCAACCTTGTCTGTTGGAGTCAAGGGGGGAGTGCGCTGATCTGCACCACTGAGGATCCAGCCCAAGCCCTGACAAGCAGGGAGAGGTTGTGACATTTTGCTGTCTAAATGCACTGAAACTGCTGTCAATGGATATTTAGTGTGTGGAGCTCTGTCGATCAGCATGGTGATAAGGAATTCCACACCATCGTCAGCCCCTGCTGCTGATTTATTGAGTCTTCATAGATTGCAGTTTAATTCGGAACAAAAGGGATTTTACAGAAGTATCAATGAGCTGGAAAATAGGATCCCGTCCAGTCCCTGCCCACCCCGGTCATGCAGCATCTTTCTCAGTCACCTGATCGCCAGCACTATGCCCAGTCAAGTTTTAGCTGTCTCCGGCAAGGGTGTTTCCGCCATTGCCCTTGAGAGACTGTCCACAACCTACTCGTAGAGCTCACTATTAGTGCCAATGCAGCCCCCCCTCCTGACCTAGGGAGACAGCCAGCCTGTACGGACTAGGACGTGGTG